TCGTAACACTTTCCTCACTGTACTTCGTAGACCAGCTAGCAGTAGATCCTCTACACCTCTCTGGGTCACGTGGCATGCCCCGACTGTCACACATAGAGTGAATCATAGGAAAACTCGCTACTCTTGTTTTCCTTCTTCTTTTCTCCTTAGCTTAGCTTAGTGTTATCTCGATGGCCGTCTAGATCACGTGGAAGTGCTCTAGGCGCGCGAAGTAGGTTTATAACTAGGCGTCAAGCAGGGACTTGAAGTAATGACAATAATGATATGCAATTCGTAACTAATAGTAGAGTATACTAAATGATTGATCTTGAGCACGAAGCTCTATACAAAAGAAATCCATCTTGATTATATAGTCCTTCGTGCCTATGGTTAACTAGGAATCGTCGTTCCTGGGAACGAGCGTTCCTGGTTGTTCCTAGGAACGTTCGTTCCTCACCGTTCCATCACATGTTTTATGGTCATGTGACATACTAATCGTTTTGGACGTAACACTTAGTATTTTCTAATACAAGATACTTTACCCAGTATTCTTGAGTGTGACATGTATAACATAACCCTTTTCACCTAAAACCTTAGTTTATTTACTTTCTTAAATCCTTATTAAATCTTTATATAAAATGAAAATTAATCAATCGAAATTTATTAAAAATTGTTTGATTTATTTTTAATAATTTTTGTTCAAAATTTATGTAAGATTGAAAATAAAAATGATAAAATTTTCAAAATTTTCAAAGTTTTCGTTTGTTTTGTATAGGAAAGTGTTTTTGAATTTAAATAAATCTAATTTTTGTAAAATAATTATATTTTTAAAGTGAATGGTTCCTGCGTAGCACGTGCACAGGGCACTAGTCCTATTAGGACTAGATTGAGAAGCTCTCTGTAGGAGAGCTTCGCACTTCCGTAGAACTTAGATAATGTGTGATTTATATACAAGACCAATATAGCCTCAGTTCTGCCCTATCAGCTTCTCACTATTCCCTGTGTATGTTACGAGGTTTGCCGTCTAGATCACGTGGAAGTGCTCTAGGCTCTCGAGGTGGTTTATAACTAGGCGTCAAGCAGGGACTTAAAGTAATGAGAATAATGCAATTCGTAACTAATAGTAGAGTATACTAAATGACTGATCTTGAGCACGAAGCTCTATACAAAGGAAATCCATCTAGATTATATAGACCTTCGTATCGATGGCTACTCAGTATGATCAATATGGCTCAGTACTGAGCTCACTGATCCTTACTGAGCCAGTCACGTGATATTGATTGCACGTGAGGATTCCTTGTTACTCGGCGTAACATATAGTCCAGAACTCTTAGATACACCATCTTCAATGTCCGTTGTTGGTAGATTGAGAATATTCTCGTTAGTCCTTTCCAAATCTCCTCCCCGCTTCAAAGGGTTCAATTAAGGGTTATGGATACCGGGCATCTGCAATACCCATAGGATAAGTGTTAGAAAATGTATCGGCACATCTTCAATTTTTGCAACTTGGTTCACAGTTGCAATTGGGTTGTACTGAATTTTTTAGAACTATGTTGCCACGCTCGAGCCATACTTTAAAGACAGGGAATGTGCAGCAAAGAGCAGGGGCTAAGCGAGCTGACACAATCTCCAGCCCCTTGGCTCTGTGCCATTTTATTGGATTATCTTCTCTTAACCAACTCATCATTTCGCGAATATCACTACATCACTGTTCCATGGGCTAACCTTTACGATTAACCTTGAAGACTCTCAAATTAAACGCTTGTGGTACAGAATAGGTTAAGGCCTCCTTCCAAATCCTTATCCCACTTTAAGGTTTGACCCCTGAATGATATACCGCGGATATACCCTTAAAATTAAGGATTTTCTCTTAAGCTGCTCAATACTTGTAAATTGTTACGAAAAGGAGCGGTACGATTTAACCTTCTATTCATTCCCTAATGTTTTGATATTCTGCTTATTCTAGTTTCGTTGTACTAGTACCGTCATCGTTCCTACCCCTCAAAATAAGTACCGGTATGTGGAGTAATAGAAAAAACATGATTGCACCGAGCCCCCGCCCGTATGTTCTTGGCGCATGTATCGCTCTCACCTTCATTCTTCTCCTTTCCCTCCGAACTCGCCAAGAAACATCCTCAAGATGGTTAGACTACTCTGATAAATCCTCCGTGTCGACGGGCCATGAAAGAAACAGTAACTATGTCTCGGCTACATCAGACAAAAAACTCAAATCGGCCGACACCACATCAGAATTAGGCCGGTCGAGTAACGGGAGCCTCGGTGTATGTGTATATTTGTTCGCTGGTTTCTATGTATATATGTATTTATCTCGCTAACACAACAGTTAAATAGTTCGAGAGGGTGTTCGTCATAGGGCTAAGAGAACGCTCATATGAGCGTGATGCTATATCATTATCTGCATCTCTGACGGGTTTTCGAGTGGAGTTTTTCGATGGGATGAGAGGCGAAGATGTATCTGTTGAGGCAAAGCCACCGGTAGGTGAAATTTACACCTACAGCACCCACCATCTGCTGCGCCTTGAGCTTAGAGCTAAGGTTAACGCTTGGACATAGGGACTTTTATTAACTGGCGGGGCGTTGGGTTCTTGGCGGGGTCACATGAATGTGATACGTAGGTACGTACATACTGTATATTCGAATTCCAGGTCTCTTTTTAAGGTCCTTTGTTTTAATGTTGGTCATTGCTATAGCATTATAGAGAGAAATCTCGCTTCAGCATTTATCATGGAGGATGACGTCGACTGGGACATCCGGCTCCTAACTCAACTACCCGAATTCGCTAAAGGTATCCGCACACTATCAAACATACCACTGAATAAACGTCAACACTCTCCCTATGGCGATGACTGGGATGTTTTATGGCCAGGACACTGCGGCGATGAGCTCCCATCAGCTTTTCACAAAGACGCCAAGGATGAAATCTACATAATCGCCAACGACGAAACCGTCGCTCCTAAATCTGTGCAAGCATTGCCTAAAACCCTAGCAAGGTATCCTGAAAAAACTCGAATCGTTCACAAAGCCGGTGCTCCCGTCTGTACTTCCGGCTATGGAATTTCCTACCGCGGAGCTCAGAAAATCCTCATGGCGCTCGCGGTAAAGGGTGGTCATAATCTCGCCATCGATAATGCCATTGCGCTTCTGTGTCGTGATGGTTTTTTAGATATGAAATGTTTTTCTGTGGAGCCGCAATTATTTCAGCATCATCGGCCTGCCGGGGCGAAAAACAAGGATAGTGATATTGATAGTTTGGGGGAAGGAGATGCGAAAGGGGAGAGGGAGAGGAGAGCTACGGATGTGATTGTTTGGAGTGCGAGGTTGAATTTTGAACAGATGGTTATGGGAAGGAAGGATTATGTTACACAGTAGTGAGGGTTGTTGATTAGGTATTATGGAATCGGAATTGATGGCGTTTGAATGCTGGATTTAGCATGGAAATGGAATGATGGCATTGTTTATTCTTGTAAGACCTGCACTGGTATTCACAAGGCATTTGCCATATTAACCAAAGGCTCTTGTATATAAATATCAACGGTAAACTTATACAATACCCACTGCTCTCTCTGGACCGTCCTGAATAGAGGTTAGAATTCCTCGAACAGTAGCAGAGTGATTAATTTCGGAGAACTAGCGGAATGAACAGTAGAGCACGTAGATTCAATTGGTGTAATGTATATACACTCATTTTGGAGATAGTAAATCTGTTGGCAAAAACTACAAAAGTACAGAGAGTCTGCTGTCTTCATCGATGAGCAAATTTTATGGCAGACCCTGCCCTAACAAACCCAATTTGATGCTATTAATCATTAGATCTTCTGAAATGTGACATCTGGCATGTTAAATTTTGAAAGAAAAAAAAAAAAAAAAAAAAAAAGAGTAAGAGAGTAGGATAAAGAGGTAATTGTAAAAGGAAATTCGCAAACTGACCTTGTCGAGCACCTCTCGTTCTTGATGAATTCATATATTGAGGATAATTGACCCCACTAAAATATATTCCTTTCTCCAAACATTCTCTAATATTTCTCAAGGCCACCACAAAAAACTAAATACATTGCTATCCCATTTTCCTCTACCAGGAGGCAAGGCCTATTCCCGCACGCCTTCTCTGCTGGATAAATCCTGATGATTAGCTCTGTGCCCTTCCCTAAACGTTCTTTTGCGTAGAGCTTCTATTTAGCCTCCCTAAGTTGGCGAGACACGACCAGTTGCAGTACATTCTAGCAATCCATTTTTTTCTTCTACATTATTCCTTCATTCTTGGAAGTTGAAATGACCTTGACAACCTACTTCGTTAGGTGTGAATGATTAATCAGGAAGAAACAGAGTTATCCACATATACGGATCAGTAACATCTCAAGGTCAACCCTAACGAATATCAAATCTGCATCTCAGCCGGACATCTAGAGTCTCATCGACGGATATGCAACATAGATGACTCAAATTTATACAAGCCAGAACTTTCAATATGACGGAGAAGTGTTTATATTGAGGAACTATGTCAGAAAAAGAGCTCAAATATTCAGCAACACCAAGGAAAAAATCACTAGGTGGAGCTTGTCGACAATGGTAAAAAATATGCACTGTACGCCTCCATTATCTCTGGGTACATTTGCATGTGCAAGATCTAGCAAATAATCCTACATTTTGGTTGACGTCCTCCTCAACAAGAGTTACCAAGAACCACGCATATTTTCGAGATTAAACCATAATAGCCTGCCATCGAGTAAGCTTCTCATGTCCTGAATTAAGCTTTCAAGAATGCTGATTAATGTCGCTTATTGCAACGTTCGCCCCAGAACTTCACAATCGACGAAACATACGATCTAGACTCGACACTTTCCATGCTCCTATCAAACATACCTCACTCACTAAGTACCACTCATTTGTGCTTGAAAGAATCCTAGAAGCTTGATGGACACAAGGGCATAGAAGCTTGGTTTGGTCTTGGGCTTGAGATATCCGGCCAATTGGATGGGCTGGAATTCCAAAGGGCTTCGTGCTGCCGTTTTAAGAAATAACAGCCCAGAGGGTAACCAAGCCTGTCCAATAATAGAAATGACCTCCACATTGTCCATCACCCTGTTCGTTAAAGACTATGCTCACCTTTCCCTTGATGACATGCCCATACTATGGATTAATGCCTTTCCACTTATCTTCAAACCTCGTGTAGCACATTCCAGAAGTCCTGGCTGTATCCATTCTCCCCGTTTCGATTTTCATATCAGACACACAACCTTTGCCATTTCAATTCCTCAAATAGGTGATAATCGTGGGTTACTGGTACTTGTGGAAGCGGACCTTGGACAGAAGAATTATACGCCATGATTTGTCCAGGCTAGTGTACAAATGGCACCTAGATGGATATTGGAGCAGGGAATATGGAGTGTCCACCGAGAAAACCTTTGGCGCAGATAGTGCGAATTTAGTACTGGTGGACTTTTCCTACCAAGTTTGTAGCGACATGGGTTTTCCAGAATGACAATGTTCTTAATTGATGGGCAGATAAATTTTGGCTAGAGGAGCGAGGATCAAATGGGCAGCGACGGGGTACAAGAATGCTTGCCAGGGGATTCCGGTGAGGCTCTGAAGTTGGAACAGGGGTTTAAAGAGTTGAACATTGAGTAGAGTGTGCGGAGAAATTTGTAGCCATCGTAGGCCCATAAGAAATCGAATCTGAATATCGTTTTGAATAGTGAGTCATGCCATATCCACACCCCATTACAGCATCCTCAAGTACACTGAAACACAAAACCGTCTCTCTGTAACTTAAAATAAACCACCGAGTAGAATGTATAAACTGTTTATCTTCCTCCTTTCCATATTGTACACATATATTACGCGGCTGGGACGATGGGGGTAGAAGTTTGAGATTTGAAGGGGTAGTAAGAGAGGACTTGCTCAAAGATAGTTTAGGTGAAAGAATACCTCTTGCGGTTTAGAGAAGAAAAGTAGTTATGTAGTGCAGGAAAGATGCACATCGTACTCGGCAGGGAAATTATATTTGTTTAGATTAATGAGATTGAATGATGTAGAGAGGAGATTGTCTAGAAATGATAGAAGACAGACGACGATGGCGCCGCCAATGGCAATGCAATGGCAAAACCAGCTTCTACGCTCAGAAAGGTGTTAGATTTAATCTGTAATGTGTGATACAGTTGAGAGAGGGAGAGTGAGCGAAAGTTGATACAACAGAAAGAAAAATACTTCAAAGCAGTAATATCAGTGTCAGCATAGTGATCATATGATCATGAACGAGACGTATTAACCAGCAAGGCACTTTGCCTCTTAACTATTATTTAAGACTTCATTCTTATACTATAGAATAGAATCAATCAAGAAATAATCTTATCAGTATGGCTAAAAGTACTTTGTCCTTCAATATCATCAGATTGAAAACATTAATCAGGAATTAAAATCCCTTCTTATTATATAGAAGGAATCTATATTTGATAAAAAAGTTCGTCACAGGATATAAAAAACGAACATCATCCTGATCAGATAATAATCAAATAGTGAAGCCGTTGCTGTCTAGAGTGTATATATAAGACGGATTAACAATATTCCGTCAAGCAAAATATAACTTTGTGTAGCCTTGGGTTGATAGCCGTCGCGAATATCAAAGCTTTATTACTAATAAATTCAATGGCTTAATTACAAGTCAATCTTTTCATCTCATATCTAATAATTAAAAGACAGAAATTAACAGAAACTTCAATATATGATTTTGTTACTTTTTTAAAATTACACCGGCCGTCGCTCCAAATTGATCCCTCTTCTCTACAACCAATTAATTCTCATGTCAGCACACTACACGCACAACACCCAAATCCCATTCTCCTCTCACCTAGCCCTTTATCATCCCATCCCATCTTATTCAAACCCAAACCCGCGCAAACTCGCGCAACAATCCCCGCATGCACACCGCACCCCAAACCAAATCAAACAAACAAAGAAACCCAACCCCAAACTCCATCAATATCCCTTCCCCATTGGTCCACCCCAACCAGCCAAGCAACCCCGCAACCACCACATCCCAAACAGGTAACCTAAGCGTTACCCAAGGTAATACAGCACCGTATTGCCAAGAACGGAAAATTGCATATTGAGCACATTTTATATGGACCATTTGAATCCTTTCTATTTCTTGGTGATTTCTGGATGGTTTGTGAGAGGAGGGAAGGCTTGAGGGGAAGTGAATGGGATAGCTATTTTGATGGGATGGGATTTTTATTATGCAGTGATATTGAGCAGGTTATGAGGGAATTAGAATGAGGATCTTGGCTTGCTGGTGGTGTGTGTTTTTTTGTTTGCTTGCTTATTCTTGTTTGTTTGTGTGCTTTACTTATATTGGAAGTGGGATCTTTGAAAATATTTCATGAATAGCTTTGATCAGTCGGTCCATCTTGAATCTAGAAGTTAAGTTTTGCATTCGTTTCAAAAAAGAATACTAGGTCTTTTGAATCCCTGAATCAATCCGCAATCTGCTAGGCAGGTCGACGCAAAAAGTTAATCAAACATGATTACTCTCAACCTCATCTTCCTTTTCTCCTTCCTCTCCCTCGTATCCGCTCACTTCTCCCTCGAGTATCCCCCTTCGCGCGGCAATTCCTTCCTCCCACCTGCCTCCCAATGGATCTATCCATGTACGTAGCATCCGTCATACCTATATCCACCTTCCCTCCACAAATACTAACCCCATCTCCAGGTGCAAACATAAACACCACCGAGAACCGCACTCTGTATCCCACTAGTTCCTTCCCCATTGGCCTCAACTTACACCATCACTGGACATATATATTCGTAAATCTCGGTATATCCTCTTATTCCCTCCCTTCCTCATTCTCCGCCCGAAAACTAATACCCCTTAGCACTCGGCACAAATGGCTCCTCCAACTTCAACATCTCGCTTACTCCTGCACCACTAAATGCCACTGGATCAGGACACCTCTGTCTCTCCGACTTCGATTTACCTTCTGAAATTAAAATCGAAGATGGATTGAATGCCTCAATTCAGGTAGTTACTGTTGGAGAAAGTGGTAGTGCGCTTTATAATGTAAGATATTTCTTTTCGCTTCAGTTAGGCCACCCTTCATCAGTGTCCATCTTATACACCATGCTTCTGTTTCTTTTTCTTTCTTTTTTTCTGCTTCCCTCGTTCATCCCATCTCAATTATTTCCCCCAATTCCAACCAAGAAGAGAAGTGGGAGCAAAAAAGAAAAAACACTAGAGAATAAGGCAAATAACCAAATAAAAACTAACACAACAAACAGTGCGCAGATATAACCTTCTCCAGTAACACCACCACCCTCCACACTTCAGACAACTCAACTCAATGTCCCACCAGCCCCGGTATCACCGTCACCAAACTTACCGACAAACCAAACGGTACCTGCGAGTCTAGTTCCACAAGTACAACTTCTAGTCTTTCTAGTTCTAGCACTTCGAGTGGAACCAAGAATGCTGGTATTTGTTTAAGCGCTACTGTGGTATTAATGAGTGCATTGGGCATTGCTGGAATTTTGATTATTTAGTCGTTTAGATGAGGATTTTCGAGGAAAGCAAAAGGGAAAGGAATGGGCAATTGGGAGATAATATGGTGAAGAAGCACAATGGTAATGATTGATTCGCAGGAAAATACTCGATACGAGATTTTAAATTCGGGTTGAGGAAAAATAAACATGGGGTTAAATTAAATCAGTGTCTTCCAGGCTTTGGTATCCATTCTTTCCAATCCCAAGAAATCTACCATTATTCCTAGATGATCTACACCCCAGAATCCTTCGGTTTTGCCAGAGCTGTTGGTGCATACCATCCACTATATTTGTTCATGTCAGCATATACTCCAATTCGCCTATCTTCCTTCTCCTTCTCTCACTCCCCAAATATAAAGGAAAAAAAAAAGAATTCACCGGCAATCCAAAAGCCCCCTCCTCTACCGCCCTCGCAGTATTCACCTGCAAAGAAGCCCTTCCCTTCCCCAGAATCTCTCTCAAAACTAACTCCAACATTTCCTCTCCAATCACCCGTCTCAATACATCTTCCAGCACCCCAGGAGCCGAGATCTCCTTCTCTTCTACCCAATATAGATTATAAAAAGCATCCAAACATTTGCACAACACTTCGTGCGCTTCATTCTTGTCGCACAAAAATGGTAATACACACAGTGCACTTTGGATTTCAAGTGTATTGTGTGGAAAGCCCACGGGTACGTTGGGAGTAATGGGTATATCAAAGAGAGAAGCCCAGCGGAGACGTTGTCGGTTGGACCATTTACCCTTATCTAGAAAAAAGGGGGTGGTGTTAGTGGCGAGAAGATGTAAAGAGTTCAAGGAGAAGAAAAAGAGAAAACAAACTTTTAACAGCCATAGGTGGAGTACTCCCAACTTCTTCTATAATTCCTGTCAAGGAAACAGGGACGTATTCGATATCGCATTGTGAAAATATAGGGTTATTCTAGATGCAGAGATTTGTTAGGTTAGCCATCCCCTGATCTTGCAAAGCTTAAAATCAAAACCACGCTCTTCATTCGACCTGCACATTCCAACAAGTATCACCCCCTAGCTCTCCCATTCCAATCCTCCCATCTACCAACTCAACCACCCAATCATCCAAACTCAAACCCCAAGCCCAAACTCAAGCCTGAAATCAAAACCCAGAAGCAAAAAAAAACAAAAAACCACACTAACCCTAAGAATCCAATAAGCCTCATAAGCAAACGGGCTAACGGTATCAACAAAAAGCACAATCTTCTTATTATTCCTCTGGCCATCCATTCCTCGCAGATTTTCCTTCGCTACTGTATCCATATCGATCGATAACCTATCCTATCTCCTCGCTCGATGACGAGATTTTAGTATGAAATGATTCCATCCTAGAATTGGCCGCTTGAATCTCTCAAGTACCTCGGTTATGATGTACCGCTATCGGATATGTTATGGGCTCCATTGCCTTCTACTCTGTCGAGAGAGTATAATAAGACATAATGTAAGGCCTTTTGCTGGAATTATACGTCATATTTATGTCTGTGACCTTCATTGACCAATCAGAGAGCTCAAATTTGTTGCCCCTTAAAATTATGATGATTAATCGAAGAAATGTTTATTAATCATTAAAAATAAAAATAACCATAAGCCTAATTGATCTAATATAACTTCAACTCATCTCGAGTGTTCATATATAATATAATATAAATTGAAATAAAAAATATTGACCAAGATTTGCTTCACAATACAGTTATAATCCAAAAAGGGCCAAACCCTATTCCTATATTCCTATGTGCCTCCATCTCATCTCTCTATTAAATCCTGCTTTCATTTCATCTAATCGTCAAAAAGCATCTGACTTTGGTCGTAATCATACTTCGTATTCATTCTAGGTGGGTATCATAGTGTAATAGGTAATCTAGGGTAATCGTAGAGGAAATCTACCATAGCGATTTAAATGAAAACAACACTGCCCCCGCCCCCGTCCCCAATCCTGATCCTGTTCCGAAAAGCAAGCTCGACTTCCCGTGTCCGTATACGCATATGCTCCAATAAACACCTCCTTCCGTAAACGCGATTGTACTCCTCGATCTCCAATCCCAAAAAGGAAACAACCCAAATATACATATGCATGTATCCCATCTATTTTTGACTCTTCTTTCTCGCCATCATATTTGGCAAGGTATTCATCTTCCCCGGTTTCCTCCCAATTTCCACACACAAGAAACGGATAAAATCCTTATTGTTCCAATAGCTGCTATGAGCTGACAACATATCAATATACTGATTAGCCAACATGCCTGGACGATTGCCCAAGATCCAATCGACCTGACCATTCTCATTCAATTGACAGAATTTCTTTTCCGCCATTTCCTCTGCCGTAAAATCATGAACTTCCATTTCCATTTGAGAAGGCATCTTGGTTATCGTAGCAGGTCTGGGCATTTCTCCAACGGGAATTTCTTCATTTTGAGATATACCAGCAGCAGATTTCATAGCGTGGGTCACTGCTGTCATGAAACTGCGCGAGGAATCTGGAACTTCTGCTTGTTTAAGATTTGCGCCGTACTTTGCGTCGACACATGCATTAAGGCGATATGCGATAGGGTCGTTGCAATGCATGATGTTATAGAGGTTATCAACTGCCAAGCAGCCAAATGTACCTGCATCACCAAAAATGTCCTTATTACTGCCATTTTCGAATTCACAGCCAGGCTTATAAATACCCTTTCTAGGTACTAAAGATTTGCTTTCGAGTAAAAGGAAGAAAGCACAGGGACTCCCGGCGAGGAAGCAGTTTGTTGTTTGGAAGTCGAAATATCTGGTATTAGGTCTCCATGAAAGCTCGGCTGGTAGGGTGGTAGGTTGCTTACTCAATACTTCAAGGGCCATGACGCTACCAAGGGAGTGTGAAATGATGTGAACCCGACCATTGTTGTGGAATCCAGGATTGTTCTTACACCAAAGACGGTATATGCGGTTAGCTTCGGCAACCAAAGCTGCAATCATCTTATGCTTGTGCCCCGACATGTAATAAGGAATATCCAACATCACATCTGAGATTAGTTCGCGGACTCTTGGAATCGTTGGTTGAGTAATGTCATTGAGAGAGTAATCACATCCAGCACGCTCTTTGTCTCCGGGCTTTCTTGGTCCACCGTCTTCAAAGGAAAGGGTTGCACGCCAGTTTACGGGAACCATAGTAACGCCATCAAAGTCTTCTCGGAGCACCTTCTTCACATCGCTATTAGTAAGTTCGCGCTTCATTTCGCAGCGGAAGCTGTTGACTGCATATGTGAAATTAAAACTCTCCATGCGCTCCGAAAGTTTTTGGCCAATACCGTGAATGACCAGACACAGATCAGTCACCTTTTCAGGTTCATCCTGTGCCTTACAAGCTGGGCACACATCCAATACATTACCAAAATTGCTTTGCTTCGCTATTTTGCTTTGTGCTTTCGTGAAAGTGGTTGATTTCTTTGAAGGATAAAGCTGATTCCATGCCCTTCGATTGAATCCACGAATGACAGCTACACCAACACAGACACCACTTTTGATTTTGGCGAGAGGCCGACGTCCGTAATAAGCCGAAGGGCAAAGACTGGGCTTGAGAATGAAGGCTTCCTCACAGTTCTTATATATGACTTGGGAATTAGGGTATTTTTTGCTGATTGAAGTGGCCGCACTTGGCTTGGTATCTGACTCTTCAACTTTGCCTTCTGCGGCAGCTTCGCCTTGGAAGCAACGCGCAGCGCAATGAGGATCTGCAGAAAGAATGTGTTTAGAAGTATCATAAGTTGAGGTTTTGGATTCTTCTTCTTTAGGCCAGAGACGGTGAACAATTTTCTCTTCGCCTTCAGGGCCAACTTCAATGGCAGAATTAAGCTGATCATCCCATGTCTGAGACCAACATTCATTCTCCCTATAGCCCTTCTCTAACTGATTGGCGACAGCTGGCTCAACAGGAAACATAGTATCTTTATAAAACCAGGTACCATATATACAAGGATACTGATCGTTGACAGGTGACCAGTATATCGGCTTCACCACCAAAGACGGTAAAGTGACCAAATGAAGTCTGGATGTCCCAACAGGGACGTCAACTTGACACTTTGGATGCTCTTTATGCTTGTAAGCCTTGCACCCTTCAACTTCCATGTCTTCTGTAGGATCGCGCTCGTGTGCTAATTGAGAATCAGGGGAGCGCCCCTCGTCATATGTAGCATAATTTTGAGATGGAGGATCTTCGCCACGAGCGGGAAGTTTCACAAATGGCTTTCCTGTTGTACCAGGTCCGGCTGATTGTACGATTTTGGTGTATATGTTGCCATTCCCAGCTACGAGTACATTAGGTTCGGATGATTGCATAAGAGGTTCACAGATACACTTATCATTCGCAGCATCCCCTTGGTCGGGAATCTCCTGGTTGGCAGGTAGGTCTCCGTCAAAGTCGTCATATAGTCCGCTGTCTGGTTCGGCCGTACCATCTGCCTGCCGTCTACCGAAGAACCTTCCCCTACCTTTGGAATTCTTGCTCGTTGTACCTACATTTGGTTCCACGTATGGATGACCGTCAGATGCTCCAGAATAATGCTGGAATTGATTGTCATTAGACTTGGATTTGTGTATGTGTCTGGGCAGTCCTGAAGAATGCTGAACATGGTGCTGATGAGAATGTGACTTGAGTGCAGACGGTCTAGTGGAGTGCTCAAACTGATTGTCATTCGACGTGGATATTTGTATTTGAACTGGTGGTCCAGTAGGACCCTGAGCTTGGTCATTGTCATGAAGCGACTTATGTACGATAGCAGCAGCGTGCCGTTCCAAATCAGTGCAGCACTCAGATACATTCTTAGAGGATGTCTTCAATACAGGCCTCTCAAGATTCTGCTTCTCAGTTGTTTGCCTCTCAGAAACTTGCTTGCCGTCGGGGTGGGGTCCATCGCAGCAGCTCCCAAATCTTGATACAGACTCGGATTGATCTTGTTTGGAAGAATGGTTGCCCCTACTTTCATCGCAGCAGCTTGGGATTCTAGTACTTGCTCCCGTAACTTTCGACGAGTCGAAATTGCCATTGCTGCAGCTGCCTGAGAATACAGTTTCGATTTCTGATTCTTTTCGCTTCGAAAAGCTGTCGTTTCGTCTTTCGTCGCAGTCGCCAGAAAATGTTGTTTCAACTTCGGATTCTTTTCGCTCCGAAAAGTTGTCGTTTTTGCTTTCATCGCAGTCGCCAGAAAATGCCGTTCCAACATCGGATTCTTTTCGCTTGGAAAGGTCATCAAGCTTACTCTGATCGCAGCTGCCCGAGAATATAGTTTCGGCTTCTGACTGCTGTCGCTTGGAGATGTTGCCATGTTTGTTGTCATCGCAGCAGCTTGGTATTCTTGAGACTAGTGAAGTTGGGTCGTCCTTTATTTCTCCAGCACAGCAGTCGTCTTTCTGGTCCTCGAATCCTTCGGAGTCATCAGGATCTTCCGTTTGCTGGTGCTGATCTCTAGAGAATGAGCCCGAATCTGTGTCCATCTGAGCTTTTAACTGTTGATCAAACCATGCCCTTGTCTCTTCCACTTGAGCTGTTTCATTTTGATCGTCAGCAGCAGCAGCAGCAGCAGCCTTTCCCTTATTCTTCGACTTCATCTTAACAAGCTCTTTCTCCTTAGTTTGCTCAGCGCGGATGTTATCTTCTGGGTTAAGTTCTTTTTCAGACCTTGCTCTTTCAGACCTTCCTCTCTTACAATTGTGTTCCCAATGTTTAGATCGCTTGATCTGATCCATGTTTTCCTCTCGAGGGACCTCCTCAATACACAAACACTCAGGTTTGGGATCTGTGGCTTTGCTTTCTTCAGACTTCCCTCTTCCGTGCTTTGAAGGTTTGAGCAAGTCGGCCGGGATGGACTCGGTAGGGCGATTGTATATTGGTTTAGATTCCTGGGAATTTTCAACTCTGCAATCTGAGTTGGCTAATGGCTGCTTCGATGAGAACCCGGGTTCCGGATCTTCCTCTAGTTTAGATTCCTTTCCAGACCTTCCCTTGCCGCAATTGTGCTCCCAGTGCTTGGATCGCTTAAATTGATCAGTGGTCTCTACCTTCGGGTCCTCCCTGAAATTGGATTTGGCGATAGATTCTAAAGCGGGCTGTTTGTCATTGGTCTGCTGTGCGGACATGTCAGGTTGGTAGGTTTGGGCTTCGAACGTCACTTCTTGTGGAGCTTTCGGGCAAGATGCACATTTGCACCTCCCCGCCCTCTTTCTGCACGAGAGATGACTTCCCTTGCAAGGGCAACCAACAGATTCCGGGGTAGGCTTCCCCGCCTTTCCTTCTGTATTTTGATCCTGGTGGCTGTTTGCAGTCTCCGAATCAGCTTGCTGTAGCTGCGTTACCGATATAACCGTCGGCTGGTATGTCTCAGGGTTTGCTCTAGTCGGCTTTAAGGATTCTTTCAGCTCCTTGACCTCTTGTTTGATCTTAGGCCTCAATCCAGTAACACCAAACTTCTTGTCTGCTGTCGGCTCGATTCCTACTTTAGGCCTACATGTCCGATTATGACTTTTGCGATCCCGCTTCGAACCCATTCCCAGCCACGCTTCCAGAAGCGCCTTATTATCACCTTTGGGAAACGGTCGAGGAAGATGTTTTATATTTTTGGAATCGGCGGTTGGAGGTGGTACAGCCGTGAGAGGATCATCGAGAGGAAGAGGGGAGCAATAGAAGAACTGTGCTCGCATTGGAGGCATCTCGTCACACGGTTTGCGGATCTGCTCGCCGCTGCTGGGAGGGGCTAGGTCGCATCCTCGGCCCAAGGTATGAATAGGTTGAGACATGTTGTCTCGTACTGCTAAGAGTAAATCAGCGGTCGTCGCGGAATGGATGAAGGAATGATGGCAAACTTACTGTTATTTAAAAAAAGGTAATGCTAGGTTATTAGAATGATTATAGGAAATAAATACTCGTCTGCGGACGTCTTTGTCGTCAAAAAATCGGAAACAGAGACGGTATAGTGATGCTGATGGCGGTGTAACTGGTGGGAAAAGGTAAAGAATGTAAAGAAAATGATAATGTAGACGAAGGAGAATAGGAAGAGAGAGAAATAAAAGACGCCATGAACAGCCAAAAGTGTCGCTGCCAATATCAGGCAAGCGTAAGGTAAGATAGGAAGGAGGTACCTACGTTTTGTAGTTGTGTTCCCGTTCAGAGGCGTGGAGGAAACTACGATTCAAAGCTGTGCGAGTACAAGTAAACCTGCCTACAGGTACAGCGAACTTTCTGTGTGAGATGACGTCGGCTAGGCTACGGTCCGGCGCTTTTGGCTTGTGAACAAACATCACATGGCCCGTTATTGATAATCGATCGATTTATCAATGAAACAGTGATCATGCTAGATATGTCAAATTTCCTTGAAAAGATACTTTCAAAGCTTCGTCATGGTTTATTTGTGAATAGCTTCACATACGAGTACCGCAGTACGGGTTTTTCTTTTTCATGGGAACGGCTATATTCACATCTCGTTAAATTGGATGATGGTAATAACCATTTGTCAATAGGACGCCCTTGGAACATGCTGAGACCCATAAATGTGTGGTGACCCCGCTTTTGAGGGCAGATCAATTACTACCCTACCTACCTATACCTCTGAGACTGCACATCACAAACGCGAATGGTTCAACATTTTCATTTTACTTTTCATTTTATTCTTTCTAGAACCTCTTAAGATTTCTTAGGATATCTACCAGTTTCGTCATATTCGTCTTACAGGTACGGGAGAATGAAACCGAAACCCCCCCGGGATATGATTGAGATGGCCTGGCCTTGGAGCAAATCAGCAAATTAGCAAAATGCGCGGAAACACTAAAATCAAATTTGTATCGCGAAACGAAGAATTTTTATCCATTCTGTAGATGCAGGGCCCAACCGTGTACAGTCGTGGAGCTCAATTCCTCAAGGGAAAACCCTGTGCTCTGAAAGTTCCCAAGTTCTTGACGACAGGCGTTGTGGATGAGGTTCGAAATCGGCTTAAAACGATTCTCCAAATGAAAATTGCGCTGCTCAACGACACAAGATTGGTTAAGCTGATTATACCCGTGATATCATTCAAGAACGTGGAAGTGAGAGCGGTAATACACATACACATGCTATAAGACCAAAGTATCTCAGCCAAGATAGCGTTCAGGAACGAGCTTCATGCCTCCATATGAATCGTTATGCGAGATGCCTGGTGGTGAATGTGATTCCCACTGCCTGTCACGACCATTAGGCGAAGTACGGGTAGCCCTGTCAACTTTGGCAATGCGAATCGCTTCGTTGATCGACAGTCGAAGATGCTGGAGTCGTAGCATTATTTGTTCAGAACCCCCAATGAGCTCCAATATCTGTTCTACATCAAACACCAGCTTCAAGAGGACAGTATCTGCATTACAAAAGGTGCGGATAGACATGAGTGATGCCACCTGCTTCCAATTATAGAGCATAGATGAGATACGAACGTCATCACCCAGTCGGTTGCCGTGGAATCGAAAGTTATACTGATTGGCAGTAACAAGATCTCGCTGAGTGCCTTGGTCGTACATGAACTCAACAACAGCCGGACGTCCCTTGTTTTTCCATGTGTCCACGGTCTTCTTGATGCTATCGATAGACATACGACCTTGACTAAATTGGATCATGAGAAATGTATTGGCTGTATGAACTATCATAAGTTCTAGCTCAACCAAGTATCTAGCTTGCTCGTACGGGTTGATAGAGATAGACAAAACTGATATTCTATTTTTGTCGTTTTTCATGTCCGCCTTTTCGGTCTACTCAAATTCAGTAACAAAAACGATTAAACGTAGAGCATACACTTACGAAGCCCTCGATTTTGTTTTTGATCTTCTCCATCATTCCAGGTTTTCTGGGTTTGTCCATTTTTTGGGTGGCGGATTTTGAACTTAAAATACTGGGTATAACCTCATTTGGTGAGGATCCAAGCCAGCCATGCTCCCCAAACATTTTTTTCATTGGCGAGCGCGATCTCTTCTTGGGAGACATTGGAAGCAAATCCGGGCTTTCAGAATTAGTCTCATCTTGTTCGGTTACGCCGATAAGATTCTTTGCGGGAGATCGAGTCATCTGTCGATTGATTGTAGTCGAAGCTGAGCTCGAATAAGACTCATTGCTGTAATTTGAGTTTATTTCCTTTCGAATCGGGGTGTATGTTGCAGAACGACCTCTGCCATCAGGTCCTGCTTCGTCAGAAGTGTGTGACGGCTGCACGCGATGACCGCCGGATGGCTTACGAGCAGGGGAGCGCGACGGTTGTTGAAATTGCTCTTGGGAACCCTTACGAAGAGGGATTCGAGAATGCCCAAACGTCGCGGCTCGACCGCGATGAGGTAGGCTTTGAGTCGGATAAGCATTATTTAGGATGGGTGAGATAGAATCAACATCATCATAATAGGCTCGATGTTTGGGATTTGGAAATTCTTCGCGTGCCACAAATCGTGACGGCGTTACACTTGGTGATGTTCCGCTGCGCTGAAGACCATGACCATGACTTAAGTATTGAGGTGCAGCCAAAAGATCACTTCTGTTTGTTGTATGACCAACCGACCGCGAATTCTTAACATGTCCAATGCCAAGAATTGGTGATGAGGCAGGTCTAACATCGTCGTAAATATGCATGAAGTCGGTCATTGTGGTCTGGGGCGACTCGTCCATATTTAAGGGTGTCTCCGGCTCGAATGCGTATGGGTTTCTGGAATTCTCAGTCTTGTGACCGTACGCCGAACTAGCTCGTGTTAGGATGTTTCAATGTTAATTCATAAATTGACATACCTATTGGCAGGAATTGTTTTCAATGGGAGTTGTTGTTGAGGAGGAGGAGAATAAACCGATCCGGGAGTCCCTATCGGGATGAAATCACCAAGTAGGCCACTAGAGCTGCCAGAAAAGTAGTATTGCTTGATTTCAGAGACAGTTGAGCGTTCAGCAGTCCCAGGAGTGTTTGGTTGATCACTAGACATCTGTGAAATCTTTGTGCTGCGGCTGATTGATATCTTTGGATCGTTAAGTTGACTTTTTGGCTCGCGGATAGCTACTTCTTGGTCGAATAAAAAAGGCCTGGCCTGCTCAATTGAACCTGAACACTCGCGTTTTGGAATCGAAGACGAACGAGGTGGGAAACCCGCTTTTTCGTTGCTGGTGTTATGGTTTTGATGTTTTGTTGCTTGTTCAAGTTGAACTTGACTTGGTTGCTTGCAGATATACAAAGGTTGTGGGGAGCAAATTGTTGGAGATTGTAGAGTAGGAAGGCGGCCTTGATTGAGTTCCATCAAAAATCTTTTCGCAGCTTCGCCTAGATTATTCTCATTGTAAAGTGAATGGCCATTGTGGCTATTGGGAATATTGTGGGGAGTTTTTGGTTTATTGTCTAGAATCGGTTGTTTGGTTCTATCGGTTTGTTTTGGAAAACAAACATCGACTGCACCATCGAGATCCATAATTCCTTTTCGAACTGGGTTGGACGCAATTACAGGTGATGCAGGTAAAGGTGAATCATCCGGATATCTTAAAAAATATGGAATGGTTGAGTCCCCATTCGTAGTGTTATATTGATTAACATTTGTTTGTGATTTTAGAGACAACGGAAACTCGGTTGTCAAGGAAATTGAGTTCTTTGGGCTTCCCGCCTTTGGCCTACCGAAAGCGGCAGGAGATTCACTTCTTATCGGAATCTTTGGGAGATATGAACGTTCAGATAATCGACCTGGTGGGGTAAGGTTTACTTCTTCGAGCGACATAGACAATTGTGAATTGAGTTGAGGTACAGTTACTCCGAGGTTCTCCTCTTTTGGAAACGTCGGCTTGTGGGATGTCGCAGTTCCAGCGTCACAAGTTTCCAGACAATCAACTACAAAATGAGGCGAAATGTTATTTTCTCCCCATGAAAGCTTAGTGCTATGCGGAGAACTTTTGTACTTATTGAAGGGATCAAGGGAAGATGGTGGACTGTAGACAGTTGGTGATAGCCGGGATTCTTCGGATTCTTCGGATTCTTCACCATACCTTGAAGATGGCTCGCTCCATTTCACAACGTTACCCATAGATTTGCGGTATTCTTGTTTATATCGACATTCCCAGGACTGACAAATACCACCACATCTATCGCGATCGTGATGTTCACGTTCGATCTGATAGGGCTCAGACTTTAGTGCTGAACTCCCTTTACGATTTTCCTTCTTCGAAATTCTGCCCTTCGCAGGAGGCACATACACGGTAGGATACAGTATTTCCTCCTCTTTGTCTTCAAACAGTTTCGTATTATGGCTGTTTGAGGTCGAAAGTTTGCTTAGACCGAACTGTTCAACACAGTCAGTTGTATGTGCATGATATGTATTCTCTAGTTGGCAATCGTCTGTGATGTTGTGACTGTCCTCATATGTAAAGTGAGTCGACTGTAGTAGTTCGTCAATTCCCGAGGCGGAGTATATATTAGAGACATCGTTCTCGGTGCTTTCGATAATATCCGGAGTGTCCCATTTATAGTCAAGGCCGCCGTCAAAGAAGACACTAGGACTGGCGGGAAGGCTATAGTAGTTATTCAAGTAAGAACGGAGCGGATTGGAGTCTGTAGTAGTTAGCGGGGCATCGGCATTGATGTTTAAGGCGGCTTACCAGGACATTTTATCTTCGATTCCCACAGTCTATCGACGACCTCATCAAGAGTGGGCTGACGAAGAGCAAGGAGATAATCTGGAGTTGGCTGTCCGACTTGAATCAACTCGTTTTTTCTTGCAAAATTCGCATTCGGGATATCACGACCTGGTGGTAAGTTGACATTCATTATGTTGGAGACCTTGCGAGTTGCACCCTGTCCACCAATGCTTTTGGAAGCTACGAAAGTGGTAGGCACCGTATCGTTAGGAAGCTTCTCGTACCTCCCGATTTCTATCAGTTCTACCCGGTCAGAAGCCGCATAACTCAGACTTTCTCTGGTTTCTGAGAGAGCACTCATCACTCTGTGCCCCAACTCTTTCTTCGCATTACTCATGAACGACCTAGTAGGCGTAGAATATTTTGAGGATGTCCCGATTGGTCCAGTTGGTTCTATTGCGGAGCCGGGCGGACTTGTCTGAGCAGTATTAGGTCGCACACAAACGCCTCCACGACCGTATTCAGGGTCCCACATTGCTCTGTGAAGCTCTGCCGGTGTCGGACAGTACGCTAGCGTTGCCGGTTTCCCTCCTACTGAGACAAATACACTATGCTCAATTTTCCAACTAGGTTGATGTGCAATCTTCGAGTTGCACGATTCGCAATATGGCATGGCACTTGGACTTATTTGTGGCTGAACAAACTGCCTTAGTGCCTGCTCTTCTCTGTATTCAATGAGTGCTTTGGTAGGTACGACTGGCGCTTGTATTGTTGCCGTGTGAGGGGCATGCGGATTAGTAAAGTCTTCCTGCAGCGCTATTAGAAGAAAAAGGGGGACTTGGTCGCTCACTTGGGGCTTACCTTCCTACGGAGGTGCTCATGCTTCCATCTTTGGAAAACAGAAGCTGGGAATGGAGGTTGTTCTTCCACTTCAATCAATTCTTCCAAGACACCCAAAGCCAAATCAACATTCTCGTCCCCGAACCTTTCTTGAAGACGGGGATGCAGTATGCGCAATCCATCTTTGTAAGGAAAATTTCGAGGCACTAGAAGATTTAATATCAGTATATGTTAAGTAAAAACATGTATGCTGAATAAGATATTGCTTAAACCCTCGGTAGATATTTTTCCAGTCATTTGAAAACCAAAACCAAGATTCAGAATGTGTCCAAATACGACAATGCAGGATACTGGAATTTTGTCCTTACCATCTGAGCAGAGTCGGATCAAATAGTTGCGGCATTCTATAAAGTGTCAATTGCTTTCAACAAACATACATCAAAGGCATTCACTCACTGTCTTCACCCCAGCCTTCTCGAGAGAGATTGTGCATTCCTGATTGCTTTCGTGTATTCTCTACCTCTACAGGAAGATGGTAATTGCCCAAAATTGGGTGTACCATGTCTCCTCTATCATGCGCTGGTGGACTAGCACCATCAATGGAAGCGCATTTCATCATTGAAATCCCGGAGGAAGTAAATGAGGTGCTTTATACAGGTAACTTTGTGGTAATGTGAGAGTAACAATTGTACATAGGCAAGATGAATACAAATGACAGATGCAGCAGCAATTTTTGAGGAACAACAATCTCTCGGGATCAAAGCAGTGAATTGGTATATTGAGAGAGATGAATCGGACTGATGGTAATGTCCTTATTGTGGGACAGATTGGAAGAAAAAGGCAAACCTCATAACACGAGGAAGAGTATATAGAAGGATTGAATGGAGCTCTAGATGAAACTTCTCAAATATGGCGGAGAAAAGTGTCTGTGGATCTATCATGCCACGATCTGAGGAACACTGAAAATCTTGTTAAGTTGTAATTGTTTTGATAGTTCGAATAAGTGAAGCTGAGTAGTGAGTGATAATTCAACTGGTTGATTTGTTGTTATGCGACAAAGTTGAAAGTGATCTGGTTATTCAGGTTCCAGATAATTTCTTGCATCTTATATCTTATCGAGAACGAATTCTAACACTGCCAATGTGAAATAAGAAAGGTCCAGAAAATAACAGTGCTTGCTGGAAGACATTTCATCTGGAGACTTCTGGATGAAAACAGAAACAATTGATTGGATGTTGACAAGTATAAAACTTGGAGATGCTAGATAGGACTTGAGCATTCTTCAATCATACGATAACCCCGGCTAGGTGAGGAAGCTTCAACATGCGGGGAAGGCACGATCATCTTCAGCAGTCCAACATGATTCTCTTTCCCCTTTAACCGACACCTACCTCCAGCAACCAAATTATAGAAGAGGTATGAGACATTGCTTTGAGAAATGAGCATTCAGCAAAGATTGAAGAAGATGTAAAGTTCCAACCATAAATATCAGTTCCTGCACATCCCAAGAAACCAATTACTAAATTACATGGAGTCGTTGTTGTACTCCAAGATAACTTTCCATGAGTATTTGAGAAGTTCACAGTGCAATCTTATCCTCTGACTCAGGCCATCCGACTTTCAGATGGGCAGGAGCTACAGGCACCCTTTAAAATCAAATCACGGCAAACACATTATAGTCGGTAGGAAGTTTATTTCGTGATTGGTGTTCCCTTTCCAGAAGCAATGTGCTACTATAGCCAGATTTGATCCCAGTCTGCACACTATGGTGAAAACCCATATACTTGTGTATAAATTTGAAACTGGATCACGAGTATGAGACTATCCTCATTCATATTAATGAGGGTTTGACCAAGGAACCTTCTGCAGCGATATATCATAAATACCTAACTACCACCCTCAATTTCTTTGAAAGAGATATCTGTTGACTTCAGCTGAAATCCCGCAAAGATATCTTCTATCTTGAGTGGGCCCGAGTTTCGAGATCCATAAGGGCGATCTGGGAGCTGTCTATCTCCCATTGAAAATCTACAAGCACCAATGTGATTGAGTGTATTGCCTGTACTCCAGTCTTTTCCTGCTGCAGTTTTGGGTCAATATTTTGTGGCGTGAGTTTCGTTGCATTGTTCTGTTCCCTCTGCAGTTTTGGTGTCAGTAGCCGCAGGATTACCATTCATCTATCGTCGGATGCTTCGAACAATATCAACAAAGTCTCTCGGTTAGCAATAAACAGTGATTGATCATGAATTTTGCCCTCGACTCCTGATAACGCGGGTTCTCTATGACAGGCATATTTAGCCCATGGAGATGTCCAACCGATTCCAACCGCCTGATGATGTGCGAGTTACCTTTCAGTATCTCTCAGATCGGAATTCAGAATGACTGAGTGTACCCAGCTTCATGTATCAATGCTGATGGTAAAGCCTTCTTGAAGATTTCTAAAGGTGGAGACAGATAAGACTGTAGGTATCATCTACTGCTTACCGAGCTTAGCTAATGCTAGGTATAGGTAGCTATCTCATTTATACGGTGGCCGAATCTACACCAAAACCAAGTCCACCTGTCATCCACTTCTCCATGCCAAGCTCAAAGATTATTACCGATTTCGAAGCCGACACAAGTTCATCTCAATACAAGCGATCTGATTGGTCCACCAGCCCCAAGACAATCCCTTCCCCGCAATATTTCAAAGTAAAACTTGCCGTGGACTTTACCGTTACAACTTCACTCCTATCTGACGCTCCTCTCTACCCTTTCTAGCCTTTCATTGCTCCTCGGGATCCGATCAAGGTAAGTCAAGTGAGCTTTGAAATGGATCAATGGCGCCCGGTATAAGTGCCGTTAGAGCTTTCCGACTTCGACTTGCGGGTAATAGTGATGTAAGATTTCTTATTAAACTCTCACCGTGTCTCCTTTGGCTTTTCTCTTCAAATCTCAGACTCATTTTTCTTTTCTTGCATTTTTCGCTTTGATCAAGTATCCTACTTTTCATATCAGGCCATCGAATTTACTATCACCCTTGCACCTTAGCTATGGAGAAAAGTATGGCTCCTCGGGAGAGCGTTGGAAGCACGGGAAATGTATCGGAGAAGTATGACATTGTAATCGTCGGGGCTGGACCGGTTGGATTACTGCTCTCAACCTGTCTAGCACGTTGGGGTTACAAGATCAAGCACATCGACAATAGGCCAGAACCAACCAAAACTGGAAGAGCAGACGGTATTCAACCTCGGTCCCTGGATCTTTTACGGAACATGGGCTTGAAACCTGCTATTATGGCACACGAACCTGCAAAGGTTTACGAGGTCGCATTTTGGGATCCAACAGCTGGTGGAAAGGGTATACACAGAACTGGAACATGGGCGAGTTGTCCTAGCTTTATTGACGCCAGATACCCATTCACGACCTTGTTGCATCAAGGCTTGATTGAAAGAGTATTCATCGCGGATCTGGAGAAGCACAATGTTCAGATCGAGAGACCTTGGACAATCACGGGGTTCAAGACGGATGAGGAGGAAGATCCCGAGTATCCAGTGGAAGTGAGCTTAGCACAAGTTGAAGGCGGTTCAAAAGAGACTGTCAGAGCAAAATACCTCTTTGGTGGTGAGGGAGCTAGGTCATTTGTGCGAGAACAATTGAAAATTGGGATCAAGCACAAGGACCCGATCGCGCATGTATGGGGTGTTATGGATGGTGTGGTTCAAACAGATTTCCCTGATATCAAGGTGAGTCATCATTTTTCGTCAACACATTGCTTTGTGTTACTCAGCTAATACACTGATAGATGAAATGCACCATTCATTCAGATTTTGGATCAATAATGGTCATTCCACGAGAAGATAACATGGTTCGTCTTTACATCCAGATCGCATCTTCAACCGATAAGGACTGGAATCCTCGGAAGACAGCCACAGAAGAGGAGGTACAGGCTTCAGCAAAGAAAATACTACAACCTTATAACATTGAATGGGAACGTGTAGAATGGTTCTCTGTGTACCCAATTGGTCAAGGCATCGCGGACAAATATACTCTTGATCATAGAGTTTTCCTGGGTGGTGATGCCTGTCATACACATAGTGTAAGCTATCTCAAATGCGCTCATCTTGGCAGTAGCTAACAAAAAGTAGCCAAAAGCAGGACAGGGAATGAACACAGCATTCCTGGATGCTCAGAACCTTGCCTGGAAGATACACCACGTTGAATCAGGATTCGCTGATCGATCTATTCTTCATTCATACGAGGCCGAAAGGAAAAAGGTTGCTGAAAACTTATTGGACTTTGACGCAAAATACGCAGCTCTGTTTTCACAAAAGGCCCCAGCTGCCAAGGACGTCGAGGCAGCCACGCATCAAGGAGCAGAACACACAAGCGTGGAGGGAGAAGAAAACGAATTCATCAAGACATTCAAGGAGTCCTGTGAATTTACCAGCGGTTATGGGGTGGCATATAATCCCAACTCACTAAACTGGTCATCATCCCATCCAGCACAATCGAGCGTCATAAATCCAAAGGGTAATAAGCTCCGGACCGGTCGTATTCTCACCAATTCCAATGTTACACGAGTCACGGACGCCAATGTTGTTCACCTCGAGCAAGAGATTCCTGTCAATGGTTCATTCCGAGTATACGTTTTTGCGGGAAAGCCGGCAACGACTAAACAGGCACTCAATGATTTTGCACAAAACCTTACCAAGAATGGTTCATTCCTCTCAACATATTTGCGATCAGACATCGATACCGTATCTTATCACGAACGTCACAACCCCCACAGTCACTTCTTCACCTTTTGCACAATTTTTGCCGAGAAGAGGCAAAACATTGAAATTGCACGAGATGTTCCAAAGACTTTGGCTAGATATAGTGATCACGTCTATGCAGATGATATTTGGGATCGTATGGTACCAGATGCCAAAGCTTCGAGTCATAGCAAGATGGGATTAGATGAAGAAAACGGAGGCATCGTGGTTGTTAGACCGGATGGGTATGTAGGAATTGTTGTGAGCTTGGAAGAAGGCAGCGCAACAGTTGATGCGCTTAATGAGTATTTCGGGGCTTTTTGTTCGAAGAAACTTGGAGAGTCAAGAGCAAATTTGTGAGAATAATTGTATATTAGCATAGCACGCGTTATATGAATTGATGACAATGAGGGACGGGATTAGAATAGAATTTGGGGAAAATTTATACTCATCCATAGATAGAATATTTACCTGTAAATCAATTCGAATAGATAAATAGAACAAGTATGTAAAAAATTTCCCCTTAAGTGGTGAATATATGTGATGATTTTTTTGATTTTTTTTTAAGAAAAAGATATACATAATAACAATTAAAATGCCTATCAAAATTATCAAAAGCTTGTACCTTTTACGAATTATAATCCATTAACTCACACCATTGAAATTGTTTCAAACATTTTTGTTTTCAGTCATGGCATGGACTGAGTTCTAAAGTGTTCCTGGCCCGAACCTGAACCCAGCAAAAACCAGCCCCGGCTCTTTATCCTGGCACCAGCACTTTCCCATCCAGTAAAATGCTTTGTCCAGAAGCCTTAAATCACCATTCCATCGGTATCGAAGAAGCTCCAATTCTTCTTTCATCATTGATTTGTCGCAAACCTCACAACCCTCACAACGCTCAACCCACAACTACATGCTTCCCATATTTCATCCACCCGAAGTAACAACACATCAGTTATCACCCATCAAATACCCGCCAGAATTATCTGAAAGTTATCTGAATTACCTAGTACTTCATTGAGTATTTCTCGATGGTGGTCAATCCCAGCGATCAAAGAACTTCTCTTCGTCATGACCACCAGTCTTAAGCGCAAAGCTAGTCAAGAATTAACTCACAACTCGATAGAGGTTATTGAGGTATGTTCTGATTCTCAAAAGGTAAAGATACTCAAGGATATGGGAGCTAACATATTCTTCTAGTCGATTCAAGGGGAAGAAATGTTCGAGACTATAATGGGCTGGTTTTGGGGTGCCCTAGAATGGCTTCGTAGAAGGGTCGATCCGTCATACACAGATATGACCTATAGTAATATTGATGGTAAGAGTGAATGGCAGATCATATTATCAACTCTACTAAGTATTACAAACAGTAATCACAGACGAACATATCCAGAGGGCAGAAGCGAGAGAAGATGGGTCCACGGCAGTCAAGCGGCAGAGAAATGAATCAAAGAATGGCGCGCACACGAGAAACTCATCACATCAACGAAAAATGATACCAACAAATACGGATCAAACGGATAGCTTGTCGGAAGAAGAACTGAGAGCAAAGGCCGATGCACAATGGATCCCGCCAGCGTTTGGTGCACCTACAAAACCAGTGGAACGGGAAGTCATAGTCATTTCAGATGATGAAGATGAAGTCGAAGAGGGCAGGCCAAGATCAATAGCGGATGCGCTGCAATCGCAGCGTTCACCCAGGTCTCCACCCATACGTCTACAACCGATGAGACTACAGAGACGCACATCTGCAGTTCAGGATGGGGGTTCTTTACATGAGCGTTTGGCAGATTTATTGACCCTAGATGATGATAAAGAGGATGAGACCGGACGCTCGCCATTTGCTATTTCGACGCGAGCTCAAGAGAAGATGAAGAGGGACGCCGAAGCGCGCAAACTCAAGGAAAAACAAGAAAGAATTCGAATTGCAAAGGAACGTAGATTGACACGGCGAGATCCATCGAATCGTTTAGTAAATGCGTTGGAAGACAAGTGGGAGAATATTATACGTGAAGCTTTAGATCGTGCGAGAAAGAACGGGAATTTGCCAATAACGGAATCTCAGGGCGGCACTCCACTACACTATAAGGATTTTGGGACTCTACTCGGCAAAAACTCGTGGCTCAATGATGAGATTATCAACACTTATATTGAATGGGTGGTGGAGGCTGCGAACGAGTTCGCTAAAGTAGAGGCAAAAGCTTTTGGTGAACCTGTTGGAAAGGTGCCAAAGTTCATAGCACATAACAGTTTCTTTTACGAAAACTTGGACAAGAAAGGGCCGAGCAGCACACAGCGCTTGATGAATAGGAAGAAAGCGCCTGGGGCTTCCTTGCTTCAAGTTGACACTGTGTTTGTTCCTATCTGCAGAGGTAGTCATTGGACTGTAGGGGTGGTGAGGCCGATAGCTAGAACTATCGAGTATTTCGACAGTTTGCAAGGATCTTCACACACATTCACGAGGTTGATGCGTGGATGGTTGAAATTTCAACTTGGTGCGGAATACAAAGAAGATGAATGGAAGACACCAAATACCGGATGTACTCGACAGATGAATGGCTTTGATTGTGGAGTATTCGTCTGTACAAATGCTCTCTGTGTCGCTCTGGGTGTCAATACCGATTGCTATAATGGGACGGATATGGCAATTATGAGAAGGAATATCGCTGCACTCTTAATAAATAAGGGTTTTCAAGGGGATTTTGCTTGGGGCCTAGGGGTATTTTAAATGTATCAAGTGTTTTTACGGACAGGCGTTTTATAGGAGGAACAAAGGAAACGATACCCATTCTGTGTTGTATAAAAATGGCAGGTTGCTGGAAGGTTTACATACAAACGCATTTGATAGATGGAGTCTTGGTTTAGGGAAAGAAGAGCCGAGACAATAAAGTTCATTGAGCGGGATGAGATGGCTCGGATGTTTATGATTGACATGAACATATGTAGAAGATGGCCTGGTCTCAAATTTTAGATCCTGTGCCTGCTTATAGTACTTAAGGTACAGATCCTAGTAGGATGCAATAGGTTAGGATTAGAAAATAAATAATATATTATAATTCAAGACTATAATCCTGAACAACAATATCAGTGTCAACATCATGATCCATAGCTATCTATCATTACCACAATCACATCACAATACAACAACCAACCAACACACCAACATCACCAACATCAACCTAACCAAACATTCACCCCGCTTAAAATGCTTCACCCCACAAACTGCAGTTCATCCTTCTAGAATCCCCACTAAACTCAAATACACCGAAACCCCGGTGCTAACCTCAATCTCACATCTGCAGGTCGTCGTCCACTACACCTTCTTCGCAGCTTAACAAGATACTATCTTTGTGAATATCAGCCGAATTTACATGGACGAAAATACCAAATCTTGTACATAGAGGCGCAAAACAGCATCCATTTGGTTCAAGGCGAATGATAGAAGGGAAGTCTCCAAGATAAGATGGCGATGGCCAAGAAGGCACGGCAGAGAATAAGTTATGGTATGTTCAAAGCCCCTGATCCCGTTTCGTGTAATGATGTCGCTTTTGACTTTCTTTAATAAGTTATGGCGGAAAGAACAAAAGATTTCTCGAAGGCTAATTGATGGATCTACTGGGTTATAGTCTTACCACTTGCGAATTCTCCCGGCGGACATAGGTTGGGTGTAAATGGTTTGGCCGTGGATAGTGAGCAGTCAATTTTGTGAGTTTGTGGTTTCTCTGTTGCATCTTTACTTCTGTTTGTCCTATGTTAGTGGAGATGCGGGAGACACAAATATTAGCAGGCAATGGGCGCATTGGTTAACGAGACAAAGATATTCAGGAGGACGAGACGGTGCCATTTGCGCCTGGGATCTAAATCTTGATCTGCGACCGAAAGAATCCTCCTTGAGAAACCCATTCGACGACCCATCCTCCGAATCTACACCAAAGTCTGCGACTACATTTAGAGCGCAAACTCAAGCTCACACGCACTGGGTAAATGATGTAGTGCTCGCGAAAAATAACACGGCGCTGGTGAGCGCATCGAGCGATTTGACTGTGAGGGTTTGGAGGCCTTTGGAGAAAGACAATGAGCCGGTGACAATTGGTCAACATGCGGATTATGTGAAGTGTCTGGCGAGTCCTGGTAGTGCAGCGAATTGGGTTGCTTCGGGTGGATTGGATCGAAGGATTTGTCTCTGGGATCTAAATGGAGCTGGGAAACAACTCGAGATTGAAGTCGGGGATGAGGATACTTCTGAGAAAGGATCAGTGTATGCATTGAGTACTGGAAGCCATATACTAGCGGCTGGAGGACCGGAATCGATTGTGCGACTATGGGATTCGAGGACTGGGAAAAGAATTACTAAGTTTGTGGGCCACACGGATAATGTTAGAGATATATTGATTAATCAAGCGGGCGATATGATTATGACAGCGAGTTCGGATCAGACAGTCAAAGTATGGAGTATGACGGCTGGAAGATGTATGCATACCCTCACTATGCATAATGACAGTGTTTGGTCGCTGTTCTCTGAGGACCCATCACTTGGCGTCTTTTACAGTAGTGATCGTTCTGGGTTGGTTGCCAAAACGGATATCAGAGGTACATTAGGAGAATTAGATGATGGAATATCGCTGGCGCTGGCGCAAGAGAATGATGGCGTCACTAGAGTTATTGCTTCCGGGGAACATATCTGGACGGCGACATCGAGTTCCTCTATTAATCGCTGGGCAGATGTCGATACTGGATCAGATATACAGTTACCGGGAGCTTACCAGCGCCATCGTGCTACTAGCTCAGTGTCGAGACCTAGAGGGGCTTCGCCTCCCATCACCAATGGAAATTCTAAGAAAGAGATTCCTCTAAAATCAATCTTGAGGATATCAAATACGGCAAGCTTTCCAGCGCCAACTGTAAGAGACTCGGATTCTGTCACCGACTTCTCAACGATGAGCGGCGGAAGGAAACCTTCCGAGCCAATCGTGGATCCGGATTTGGGATTGATTGTTCCTATTCATGCATTACCTGAAGAAACTATTGAAGGACAACACGGTCTGGTGAAGCACAAGCTTTTGAATGATCGCAGGAGGGTTTTGACCCTAGATACTGCCGGAGATGTATTAATGTGGGATCTTCTCAAGGTGGGTGAATTCGTTCAGAAAGTTACAGGCGGACAGCTAATACATGATTCAGTGTGTGCCCATTCAATCTTTCGGAAAATGTCATCTCGAAGATGTAGAGCCAGAGGTTAACACAATGGAAGCTGTGGCGCCTTGGTGTTCATTGGACACGAGAACTGGTCGATTAGCTGTTGTTTTAGAGGAGTACAATTGTTTCGATGCAGAGATGTATGCAGATGAACTGGAAATAAATGATGATGTCGAGTTTAGAGAAGACCAGAGAAGTGAGTTTTTCCTTCAAGGATGAAGGGGCTATAATGCTTACATTTTATGTAGTAAACCTTGGAAAGTGGATATTAAGGTATATTTTCTCGAGGCTGGTTGATGAGCAAATCAAGAAAGATGAAGTTCACCGCGCCGAGCTCAATGAGATTGTCAAAGCAAGACAAGAAGCCAATCCACCTATCTCAATCAATATACCCAATGCCTCTACAACTGCCTGGGATCAACAAGGAAGCTTAACTCCTCGAGCAAATGGTAATCATTATCCTGCAACCCCAGGCATGGGTATTGGTATTGCTACTCCTGGGCCTGGAAGCTTTTTGCCTTCCGTATCTGAAGATGGTGGGCCATTAGATAAGAGAGGATCACAAGCAAGCAGGAGCTCAGCGGAAAAGCCAGACTACTTTGGAAGCTCAGCAATTGCAAACGACCCTCCTAAGCAACCAGTCGTAACTAACAGTGATAGTCAAGACCCTAAATCTCCAGCGGTGGACACTGAAAAGGAAAGTAATGGTAAGGATAGCAGCACATCGTTTGGCAAAAAGTTCCGCAAGGGAATGTCTTTCGGAACCAAGAAACTCGGTCGTTCCTCCTCAACTACCATGGATAAACCAGTTGCATTGGACGACAACAAAGACAAAGCCACGGATGAAGGATCCGAATCTTCTGAAGCAGGTGATAAACTTCCTGCTGAAAAAGAAGTTGAGGATAATTTCAATGGGGTGATACAGAAAATTCGCAATGAATACGAGAGATTGATTGCGGAGAACCCGGCTCAAGAGGTTGAGAGTGGTATTACGCCTAGTTTGACACCTGAGACACCTGTTTTGAAGATTCCTGGTGGCACCACGATAATTATCCAGGAAGAAACGAGTGGCGGTGTCAAAGATCTTTACAGAGGTAGTGTAGAGACAGTAGGCGAAGACGCCAATATAATTGCCGAGAAGGCTCCAATGTGGTTGGGTGAATTACTTCTAAAGGTATTTATCTATCTGACTCTCTCTTCTTCCATCTCCCCTACCTCATTCATCTTCTTAACGGAACTAACAATGAAACAGAATAAAATCCCACTCAAAGATCCCGTCAAGGTCTCATTCATCCTTCAACCATACCAAGATATCCTCCCCTCTATTGCAGGTCCGGATGGTAACGCGAGACTTAATGCAAATCGCATGTTGAGAGTCAAGAAGATTCTGGCGTATGTGGCGGAGAGGATCGAACCGGCGAGTGAGCAGCCAAAACCAGAGGTTATGAAGCCAGAGGATTATCTGGATTTGTATTGTTATGAACAGGTTTGTCACTCGTTCAATTTCCCCTATATCATCTCCTTTCCATCCATCATCATTTCAGTGAAGCTCTTCGGCGGTACAAAACTTTCGTGGCCCGGTTTCACAGAGTAAATACCAAAAGAAACGAGACTAACGAAACTCCCAATCAGAAACTCCCCATAACAATGTCGCTCGCCACCCTGCGCGCACATGTCTGGAAGGGCGGCGCGGATGTAATGTTGTATTATAAAAGTAATGGGAGGAGAAGTATTAAATATGAAAAGCTTACTGAGGAATCTGTAGAGGGTGAGCAGAATTCCGGGGATCTTGGATCCGGGTCTGGAATTACCGGAGCTGGTGTTGGTTCTGGTACTGCGGCGCCAGCTACTGGGGGTGGTACTACTTCTTTCGTTGGTTGATAGATATGTGCCGGGACAATGCTTGAGATGGCGAGGGGAAAGGGGAAGAAGAGAGAAGAAAAGGAGGGTTTCTGTTATGCGTCGATGGATGGATGAATGGCGTGTTAAGGGGGAAAGGTCCATTTAGAATAGCGAAATGGAACGAGAAATGTGGATCCATGAATGGGGTTTATACCTCCTTTTGAGAGAAAGTTAGATAGTAAGGTGTGTTATTCCACTTGCTTGAAATTCAAAATTCAAATGGTGGATGTGACATTTAGGGGGAATTAAATATGATTATATTATATTATGATATGCTCTGCTACACATTATTGATTATATGGGGGGTTTTTTTTTAACAATTGCGCCTAAGGAAATATCGATGGAGGAGTTTTTGTTTGTGTCTGAGATGTAGTGGATGTGAATATCTCAGTCTTAGTCTTACAATAAGATGTATCATGTATAATCCTTTCTAGGTAGAGAGTGAGACCTTAATATATTACAATTTTAAGGATGAAATAATATCACATAATCACCAGTGATTTATATTGAGCTTTTAAGAAGTATAGAGGGAGATTTGAGTTAGAGTTTTATTTTCTTAGAATTTTATAGTGCGCTGTTCCTTTGAGGTAAGACTTAGGTGCTTTTTGGACATTCAAAAATCAAACATCAACTCATCGATGGGAAGAAGTAGAGCACCATGTCTTAAATTGGTATATATCACAAAATCTTAATGACATCTCCAGCCCATGACTCCGTCTATCCGTCAGTCATCTAATCGAAGCTCAAATAACAACAATACTTATGTAGCCATTTGCATAAACTCATCCGCCAATCTCTGCAGATAGAATCCTCTTACATCTGTAGGTAGGCTCTCGAAAGACTTCACCACCTTTGCAATATCTTGTCTACCTTTCTCATATGCTTGTAGATCTCGATTGCCATATACATCTTTTCCCGCCGCGTATCCGTTGCGGAGATTGCGGAAGAATACATTGACAGCTACGCTTATGCCAGAGGTAGGTGAGGCTGTGTGTAGCCAGAGTGAAGGTAAGAAGAGTATGTCACCTGGTTGAAGTATGACTTCATGTGGATGAGTATGCGAGAGCTTGGGATCACTGAGGTTCTCGAAAACATTAATACTTGAGCTTGAAGCGCCTGGGGCGAAATCGAAATATTTGACATCCGAGGGTGGGAAAAGTAGAAGACGTTTAGAACCTCTGACTTGGCAGAGAACATTGGCCATAACCTAATATTATTAGCATTTGGCTTGGACTTTATCATGTAACAGAATGAAACCTACATCATAATGTAACCACATGTTCACAGGTCCAGAAATACGTAATGGGGAGCTATGTGCGTTATGCGTAACGGATGCCAACTCTAGAGGTAGTTGAAAGTCGGCGGAAATGGAAGGGTAATCTTTCACAATATCGGCAGGGAGTTCCGATGCCTTTTCTGCAGATAATGACCTTAGATAGAGCTTACTTCCTTTCTCTACCTCATCTAGGAAATCACCAAATTTCTTCGTTACATATGTGAAGTTTTTTGAGCTGAAGTTCATATGCTCCGTCGATGCTTCATGCACAATAACCTACAAATGGTTAGAGATAATTTGTTGCAGGAATGGGAAAACACTACTTCTCTATCAGCACCAACTTTATCTTTTAGGTAGTCAGAGGTCCATTCTTTGGTGCAAACACCAGTATCTAGTCCTTCAAGGATGATAGGTTTGCCAGCATCAAGGATTTTGTCGAATTCCATGGACGAGTTGAGCTTTACCCGTGGTACTTTGACCAAGCTTTGAGTTCCTGGAGTTGCACTGAGAAGACTAGTAGATATTGTTTTAGGGGAAGGAGCTCCATCAATGGTGCGCATAAACTTCCACGGCCCATGCAAAGTATCATACGTAACACCATTGCTAGCTTCCGAGGTATCAGAACGCTTCACGGTTAATGAATAACACCCTTTGTTCCAAAATGTCCCAAATGAAAAGCACACCGCTGAACCGCCCATGATAAGGATTTTATCACCGCTTGAGACCGCAGAGGTACCAATAAGAAGTGGCCGTGGTTCAAGATTGGTTGACACACTTGTACAACAGACTACATGCTGAGTCGTCGACATGCTTTCGATCTTACTACTACATATCTCATTGGCTAAAGGTAGTAGTATATCTTTTACAATACCACCAACTACGACAATATTGTCTTCATGAACCAGCGTTTGTGCACCAAAGCGAGCAAGAGTTGCTCCGTTTTCAGCCTTTGTGCTGGGACTGTCAAAATTTTTAAATGATATGGAAGGTTGCTATATAACAGTTAGTCAAGAAGAGCAACAGTGTGACTTACTTCTAAAATTTACCTCGTCTCTATATTGCGATATCTTCCATTTCCAAGTCTTTTCTTGAACCAGTCCGTCTTCAGTTATGCCACCAGCGATAATTCCAGACCTTGACGCTGAAGGATGAGGAAACGTTTCAGGATAGACAACAAGAGAAGAACCAAAGAAAGCAGGGGGCCGTTCGTTTGAGTTGATACTGCATTTCACCCATCCTCGCTGTCGGCTCCAGATCATGACATCATCAACCAGAGTCTTTGAGGTACTTTTGCCACCAGTCATCATTACATAGCCATTGCCTAGATGGGCAGCCGAATGGCGATATCTCGGCTTGGGAAGGTCATCAACTCTCTCCCAAATATTCAACCATTTGTGGTAAATCCAACAGTCAACTATGGCATTATCTGGCGACGTTCGACCTCCAATCAGTAGAGATGCACCATCGTCGATTCCCGTGATAGTGTGGCACATACGGCTCGATGGCCAAGAATGAGAACCTTGATAATCGAATGAAGTGAAACCAGTATCATCAGCGGAGTAAACATCACAAGAACTCACTCGAGTATTAAGACCCATCCCGGAAAAGTTACCAATAGCATATTGACCTCTATTCCTAGCCCTTACGGAAAGTGGGGCAGCAAATCTGCGTTGGCCTTGAGCTTTTGGATATTCAGAGTATGTGCTTGTAGTGTGATTAGCCCCTGGGCCATTCAACGTTGGTTCGCAGCTCTCTTGCATCGCCTGACGATGCATTGTACTAGTATTATCAGCAACAAGTAAAAGATAGTGACAGCCGAACAAAGCGAACTCCTCCCACTCGTCGAAAGGCTCGACACTGTCTAAAGCAATTCTTTCTTTAGAATCTAGGAAATCTTCAGAACCCCAAAGTTCCCATAGATTGCGTACTAATACTGATGGCCACCCCAGAGAGCGAAAACGTGTGTCTTGTGCAGCGACAGTTGGATACTTTTTGCAAGCACCCAAGGGTGTGCCAAGTTTGTCAAAGTGTGCCATCATAGTTTGAGCAAATGGGTGACTTATTCCCTCTGGGAGTAGCTGTTCTAGAAGACAAAAACGAGCTGGAAAGTATTAGTTCTAAATCCATGGAAACAAGAAAGGAGGAAACTATACCGTCGGGGAGTTTATTTGCCCATTGTATTAACGCATCAGCTGATTCAGTAGGCATATATGTGATAGAAACCTCTGCTGTAAATAAGAATGAACATTTCTCTATATCCACAACTTTCGATATAGTTTCTTCCAGCCGTTTGAGATTTCGTAAATCACATCCTAGTTGCAAGTACTGATCGCTACTAAGCAGTATGTCTCCGTCTTGAGTAATGTTCAGGTTAGTGAGCATGGAGTTGAGCTCTGATGTGTTCCGGACAACTGTTTGTTTCTTGACCATCAAGTCTCTATAATCGATATCGATGAACTTCACATCTTGAGAAGCTGTAGGATATCTACTCATACATTGCCAGGGAAGGGGGTCACTTTGGGTAATCAGTGAACAGTATGTATACTCGAATTTTCAGAACCTACTATCCACATCCCAGATTGATAACAACCCTCTGTTTCTCGGATCTCTGCTCTAGGAACTGTTTCACCACATGATCTATAGCTTTCATGCGTAGCCAATATCCACGATTGATAAGAGGGGATCGTCTCAGGGGTTTCTTGACGAAATAACGGAAAAAATGGGGCTCATTTGGGAAGTAAAGACGTTCCACACTGCGCTTGGAAACAATGCTGCTGTTATTGGTCTAACTTGCATTAACATTCACACATGAGAAGGTTATTCAAGTACCAAAAACTTACACCCATTATTGAATCATCCGTTTTCTGGGCTTTGGTTTGCCCAGAGGATTTTGAAATTTTTGCTGGACGACGTCCATTTTGAATCTGTCCTTCCATTCTTGTAAAACTCTCACTTACCTATAAATATGGAAGATTCTCCAAAATTCCTCAGGTTTTGTTTCAAAAAGAAAAATTGATACAGGATGCTTCATGAACTTTGACATTTTAGTCTAGCGGCCGACTTACCGAGATTTAGGCGGCGAACCAGCTCCCCAATTCCTGGAGCTTCAGAGAGAGAGAATGGTAAACAACCCCGCGTCTCTGTTATCTTTCTGCAGTCAACAGTTTACAATTTACAGTCTACAGCCTATCATCTATCGAGGGATTCAAAATTACGATTCGAAATCAATGTGCAGCTCATACAAAGATATATCGATTGCTACAGCTCAGCTGTCTAGTTGATCTTGGGGACATCCATCCATAGAAGCGCCAATCCTAATCTCCAACCCAAGAATCTTGCGGCGAGCAATCAACCCTGAAGCTTGCAGCACGGAGTTCTTGCATTATCCTGGAGAAAGATCTTTGCGCAACATAGTAGCTTAAGTCTACTGAGTCGCAACTATGAATTATGTTACGTTCAACCAGGACTACACCTGCCTGGCAGTTGGTTGGTGTTCTATCTGATCCAATTTCGGGATGTACTAATGCCTCTTCATCAGGGACTGCCAAAGGCTTTCGAATATACCATACCGATCCATTTTCGAAGATATTCACGGGGGATAATGAGAATGTAACTATAATTGAGATGCTATTCTCAACTTCCTTGGTGGCCATCAAGCAGTCACCTAGACATATTGTAATTCAGAACACCAAGGTACGAGTTGCCATCAACGCAATCATATGTTCATGGAGCTCTGGAGGTTACATATACTGACCATTCTTTACATTCTAGAGAGGCACGGTTATATGCGAACTCACATTTCCATCTGCGGTTTTGGCAGTGCGACTGAATCGAAAACGGTTTGCCGTGTTGTTGGAGGAAGAAATATATTTATACGATATTCAAAACATGGGCCTACTATACACAATCTCTACATCAGCAAACCCAAACGCCATTTGCGCTCTATCTGCTTCATCGGAAAACTGCTATTTGGCATACCCATTACCAAAGCCCAGGGAAGAGACGGGAGATAAGAGGCCGGCCCATGCACCGCCGCTGTCCCCATACGTCGCACCGACGTCTGGAGAAGTCCTTATATTTGATGCAAAATCATTGAAAGCCGTAAATGTGGTTGAGGCACATCGGGCACCACTGTCATGCATTGCACTGAATAATGATGGAACTTTGCTGGCAACGGCGTCAGAAACAGGAACAATCATTAGGGTATTCTCGGTACCGGATGGACAGAAACTATATCAGTTTCGAAGAGGCACATATCCATCGACTATTTTTAGCCTGTCATTTAACATGAGCTCTACATTGCTTTGTGTGTCTTCCAATTCGGATACAATACATATATTCCGACTCGGCGGGCCTGTTACGGGTATGCCAGAGTCCCCGCGATCTCCAAATGGTAAAGATAAATGGAAACGGTCCCGGAGTTTTGATAGTGACAACGGGTCTCCTCCAGCTGGGACATCACCTGGTAGTGAGATGGCAGATGTACCAGTTGAAAAATCCAAGTCCACTGGCACTTTTGGGAGCATGATCAGGAGGTCATCGCAAATGATGGGTAAAAGCGTTGCCGGAGTCGTTGGAGGATACCTACCCCAGGCTGTCACAGAAATGTGGGAACCGGCGCGGGATTTTGCTTTCATCAAATTACCAAAAGGAGGAATGGGAGCTACTTCTCGAAGTGGCCCACTCAAGAGTGTTGTGGCAATAAGTAGTAGCAGTCCCCAAGTAATGGTGGTAACAAGCGACGGAGGTTTCTACATTTACAGTATAGACATGGAAGCGGGAGGAGAGGGAGTCCTGGTTAAGCAGTATTCGTGAGTACCAACCTTGTTATTTTATTGATCTACATATCTTCTAACCAAGTCGGCAGTGTCCTAGAGGGCGACGACAGTCTAGAGCCGCTAGTTAATTACGTGGGATATCGGAGCTAGAGGGTGTATAATGAATGGCGTTCTTGTGGCAAAATTTAGCGGGTCTTCTCTCGTTCTCATTCTCATTCTCATTCTCATTCTCATTCTCTAAAACTTCCAGCATTACGTTAGGAGTTCCTGGCTAGTCGTTCTCGGTACAAGGGGGACATTATTGACCAAGCTTACGAGCTGTCTCTCATTCTATTGGCATAGCAATTAATGGCAAATATCATTATAATCTCATCTCGTTCTCATGCTACGCTGTCCCCTCCTCATACCTGGTAAGTGTTATCTTTTATCAGCCAAATACAGCAGGTGGGCGAATTTAATTGCAGAAGGGAGTTATGTATGGAGTATGTGGAGTGTCAGCACGCAACCAACTCTACCTAGACTGGAGTGGAGCAGAACGGGTACGACTTGTTTGAGCGTTTTCGTGCGAGAAGGATTCAGTAATGGGCATGGTTTATACTGCATGAAATCTGAATCGTCGACGGGTAAGACAGGATAACGATTCCTTCGTACCTGCTGGTACTAATGTAATTATAGCCCAGTATTCAAGTATGTACCTTAAAGTAGACCTTACATGGCCAGAACCAAAGTATCCCCGGATTATTTATTATTATTCAGGGGCTTTTTAAATATGTATGAGATGAGATGAGATGGAATGGGACGGAATGAGATGAGATGAATTGGGATGAAGCACGGCTTAGATCATGCGGTACATAAAATCGTGTTTTAGGGTACGATATACGATTGAATAAATGTAGATACGGACGGCACCTTACAGAAATAGCCGGATAGCTAAGCTGTAGTCCGTTAATGAGTGCGGTAGAGAAGGTTGGTATGTCGGATTTGGAAGACTGAGTGGTGGCGATGGACTGTCGGGGTCTTTGCTATGGTTGCGCGAGAATGAATATGAATCCTTTCGTTTAGGTTTAGATGATGATTTGGTGTGAAGAAATATATTTCCCAAAGGAGTCTCACCGCAGAACGAATAGATAGACGAATAGATGCTAATTGCGACTTTTCGGTTCGGGTATGTTATCCGGGGGATCTAGAGTCTAGGTAGTTCTTCAGTATGTAGGTACCTACCTAGGTACAGAAGTGAGTAGCTTGTCTTGAATCCTTTGGAGTGTGGGTGATGAGACGAGAATTCTGAATTAGGTTGGATTTGATTGGATGGGGGATTTTTAAGAATCCTCATGGACTAATGGGAAATTTTTTGTTTTAGGTTCATTTTTAGAATCGAGGGTTAGGAAGCTTGTTGTTGGTGATGTTCATGATGGTATGTTACATTCATTTAGGGGAGGATCTTCGGGATTACCATAGCCCTCGGTGGAATACAGATGGAATTTGGGAGGGTTTGTATGTAGAGAATTACCTATTACCTGTGGATATTTTGGGACATTACGATTAGATGCTTCTATCTCGTGCTTCCTGCGTGGTTAGCTTGTACATCTAGGATATTGAAAAGTCGTTTGCATAAGTAGTATAATGTGTGAGTAGAGGCTGAATATTATACGCGGAGTCTGCCTTCCTCAAGGCAGATCAGTAGTAATCAGAGTATAAAGTTCGAGTATCTAGACCTATCACACAGTAGAAAAGTGGTCAAACGGACAGGGGAATTCGCTATTGCATCATTAGTAAGTATATGATCATCAGGCCCTATGTCACTCTGAAAAGAACATGGAAGAAACGCAGATGCATCGTTGATAAATATAGACTTTTTCATTATTCTCAAACCATGATGTATGCATGGCAAGAGGGGGTTTTTACGTATAATTACTATGTACAGAATTATCTACCCTAGGGCAAGAGTAGTATTGCATCACATCGCGTGCAAAGGGTGCATTGGTGCACTGCTATCGCTCCCACACAATGACATACAACCTCGAAATTGACCCGAACCTTGGTTTTCCTTCCCCCACGACCCATTGACTGAGCTCGTTCTACTTGCAAATCGGCTGACTTAGAAAACCCTCAGGGATCTAAGCGCTGTCGCAGGAAAAATTCTTCCGGCTGGCGGCCATTTTCAACCTATGGGATTTATTTGGCATGAACTCACAAGGGTGAGAATTCCAGGTGCTAGATTAGTACAGGGCTGTTTTTCGGGGGATACAGGCAGACGAGACGATCTCTCGTGGTACATTACTTAGAAGTTGAGTGGTTGTTGAAACGAGACTTAGGGTGTGAGGGACTGCTGGTGTACACGTTTTACTGTCGTGATATTCTCAAAAAGGCATTAGATGAGCGGATAAGCAGATGAGATGAGCCTCTAAATGTTGGATTTGAATTTGGGAGCCCCTAGTGGAAGTAACTATGGCATCTACCGTCCAGTTCCATAGTCCTATGGACCTAGATTAATCATTATCTATTAATATAATTAGAGTGAGAAAATTCTATTTCGCAACAACAGCCTCTTTTTTCTAATAGAGTGAGCCTCAGCGAGGTCCGGCCATGGAGTTAAAATGTATCCGTCCGGTCCAAAAAGATCTACATGCCCTGTGAGCCTAAGTCAATAGCCCGCACGGTCGATAATTTAGATTGGCAGGCTAGGAAGTGGGACAACTGGCCCTATGAACTCGGTTGTGGTCTTGACCTTCTGGTTGGATCACAAGTACGAACACACGAACCCGACTTACCAAGTAATCGGGAGGAAGAGAAAGATGAGGGTCATCCCATCACATGAGTGAAGGGAATCAGGAGGCGAATAAATGTAGAGACAACGGGCTCCTTGATACAACAAATCATCTGCAAATCGTTCCCAAAGGAGTGGATGGAGTGGAGGACTGAGGAGTCGGATCGAAATATTCGAGATAATTACCTAGTAGACATAACATTTTGATGGTTGTTCGAGGCTAAGCCTTCCAATGCATTCACTGATCAACACCCACAAATTGACCCTAGACGAGCTATTTCAACCCACCCTTGAATTCAAGGGGGACCATTACTGTGTGGTTGGGACACACGAACGATTGAAAGTCATGCCCGGTACCATATCACCTACGAAATACAAAAGTGGCTCGAGTGGCATCATATTTCAACGACTTTTGTTACAGCTAACCCAGAAATGGAAGATCTAACGCTGCTTCCACTCTTGATATTGGCAAACATTTTTATATCATACTAATCCTATAAAGGACAAAGAGAAGGAGAGACAACCTGTTTCCAAAATATGTACGGTGATGCTTCCTACATCTGCAGGTAGCCGAATCTCTGACTCGTTATATGATAAAAATATCAACCTTGATGTCGACTCGACTTCCCAAGAATAACAACGGGAGCAAAGCAAAAGCAAGCAAGAAAGCAAACGTAACCCAACGCAAGAAGTAGAACGACCAACTGATGGATCGTCCAGTAGCCTGACATGATAAACCTTTGGATGCATCAATTTTTTTTTCATTTTCATTTTCATTCTCATTAAATCATTCATATGACCTGAATTATCTGCGGGTCTGGACGTCTAGCCCACTCGGAGATGCAGTCAATACAGTACCGTACAGCCCTGAACCCTCAATAGTAACTGTTGTGAGTTATCTGAGTTGTTCTTCTTACTGGTCTATCCCGACAGCTGTTTCCTCTAAGCTTTCTAATGTTGCTACCAACTACCTACTCGGGGCTGTGCAGGCACTTTTCTATCATGATATTATCATTCGATATTTGATAGGGAATGTCTTGAATGAATCGTTTAAAAAGCAAGATCTGTCCGATGTAAATACTCAAACAGCGGGTAAATTTGATTTCTTTTTGACGCGTCAAACGATACCACCTAACTGCCTAGTGAGCAGGTGGGTGGATACTGGATAGGATAGGGAGTCATAGAAGCGGATGGTGGGGAAGCAAAAGAAATTATAAGATTTTCAACGCTAAAACGGTCACTAATTAGTGCTAATTTAGTTTTTTTCAGCGCGTTTGCTAATACAGTCATCCAACATGTTTGTCCCCTAAAAGATAATTTCCAACATCTAATTACTACCAGACCAAATGTTACTTGTCCACTTGTTCTATGCATCTCGAAATACTAGGAACAAATCATAAAATACAAGGCCGAGCTCACCTCACAACATACTATTTTCGACAAGGCAACTATGTTTGTTATCTCTGATCCACACAACGTTCCGGTACGATCATACACCTGGGATGTGAGAGACATCTATGATCGACTCATGGAATGCCTCGCATCGGATCATAGATGGTCCAAGATATTCCGATACATATCTGAGAATATTCCCAATTCAGTCAGCGAACACAGCACCCTAAACGAGATCGAATTACGAGATGCCCTAAAAAAGATACTCATGTCAAGGCTAACCCCCTCAATCTCAGATGTATCTGACAACAATGACAAGGCTCAGTCTTTGACTCTGTACTCTATCTTAGGAACCCCCAAGGAAATAGACCCCTGAGCCGTGTTCTAAAAGATTAGATTTAGCAAATTTGGAGTGTTGTCCCGCAGATTGTCTGTTGGAATACCATAATCGTTCAATCGGATGCATTTTACCTGTTCAGCTACTGCGTCTGACTGCCTTTTAGACTGTCAGCATTTTCTAAATGAGGAATTGAGAAAATTATACAGTCATTCTGGTTATGTTAACTGACATTCAATCTGACCCTTACAATAACAATCCCTCTCCACTCGCTCTTCCCCATATCACTTCTGACCCTTAACCTAATTTATTTATTCGCTTGCCGTTATAACGTGTAAGAATTAGCATAACATCCCTGTTGACTGGTACTTTTTGTTACCTTTACGTCGGATCTCGACCTGTGCGTCTCCTGCAGTGCTTATACGACAGGGGTATTACCGAATTGAACCTTCCATGGGGCCCCTCACCCTGCTTTGTCTTCTAGCTAGGTATGTGTGCCAACCTAGACTGCCGCAACCCTAGTAAGTAGCAGGATTTCATTAAACCCGTTATGTTTACATATCTTTATTTGAAAAGAACGACAACCCTTGAATATCTGCCTTGCAATACTTAGATGCTCGTGGTCTTCCCTTCTCGTCCTCGAAAGAACAAGAAGCATACAGCTCATCTACCACACTACATCCTTCAATATTTCTAGTACTTTAAACCTCAGCTATTCTTGTAGCCTCATACTGCATCTTCAACCTTCTCCTCCTGTGGGATATCGTTCATACAACCCCGGATTCCTTCAGGTTTACATTCGCCACGGCTCAAGTCCTTATTCTCCAGTCATCACCTCAGATTCTGCATGAAATATCACACCACATTTCAGGGATTTTTATTACACATCTCCAAGCCGTGATCTGCCAGTACCTGGTCCTATAAGCCATCACTCGAGTCACATTTTTAGCCCCCAACCGTTCCAAGTTATTCACTCCTTCCATATCACCTTTTGTACTCCTGATCTCTCATCTCTATTCTTATAAACAACATGGAGTTAACCCCTCAATCCACTCGTTCCCTAACGCCTCCCTTCACTTTCTCAGGCAACTCACAGCCACTCTTTGAATATCCGTCACCGGCTCAAAGTGAATCAAGGTACGGATCGACGGATTCCATCCAAGGCTTGGAACTCTATTCTTGCCCTATGTCAGGATCTCCACCAGCAATGGGAAATCAGGATGCTAGCTTGGAGTCAGGAGGCCTATCTTCTGTAACCTCCGACAACTGGGCAGATACCACTTTGCAAAGCCGTGATACGCCTAGATCATCCAGGTCAACGCCTAATATTCACTCCGCGGAGTATGATCCCTTTGCCTCGTATAATCCACCAGTATCAACTCCCTTCACTACTGATATATATACCACTTCCCAAACTGCTGAAGCGTCTATTCTTCCAGCTTCTCCACTCCAGTCCGGTAACAACTCTCATCGCTCTTCACTCTCTTCTGCTCCACCCTCAGAGATATTTACTCAAGCTGGATCGATACATTCCTACACTCCACGCATCAAGATGGAAGACCATTCAGAATATGTTCCCAGTAGTGACTCTTTCACATTAGGCTCCCCTCACAATGGCCAGCATTCATTTATTGGTGCAGTGACTACCTACCCAGGAACTCTGGAGACATCTTACTACGACCAATCCCCGTGGGCACAAAAGATGGAATACACCTGTACTGATTTACCACCATTCTCGGCGCTCCCAATTCCAACTTACGAGAGACGATCCGAAAGTCAGGATAGATCATCGTCACAGGATCTTCGACGTCCAAGTGTAGTAGCACGGACGAGGGGACCTCGAAAACTCACCGCCAAGGAAGATGCAAATTTCCAGTGTCGTGTTAAGGGATGTGGAAAGCTCTTTGGCCGTAGTTACAATTATAAGGCTCACATGGAAACTCATGATGCGGATCGAGAGTATCCTTTTCCATGTCCTGTGGAGAACTGCACCAAGAAATTCGTCCGGAAGACGGACCTCCAGCGTCACAACCAGAGTGTTCACATGAAGCAACGAAATCATAAATGTGACTATTGCAGCAGATTCTTTGCAAGGAAAGACACACTTAGAAGGTGCGGCCCACGTTACTCTATAATTTACTCTTAGACTAGACTCAAGCTAACAACGACAACAGACATATGGAAGATGGTTGTTCCAAACGCTTCGACATCGAAACCGTCGATTTCAGACCTCAAAACTACACCATGGACAACAATTCAGCGCACACACTAAAGCTAGTACTCCCGCCTCACCCAGACCAAATGGGACGACCTCTATCTTACATTCAAAACTCCCACTATTCGCCACCCCCGCACAGCGGAAGCTCCGTTCATGCGCATCACGACGCTATGGTTAGTCCTCTCACATCAGCCTCGTCAGGGGCTCAATACCTTATGACGACAAGCTCGGAGCATCACAACCATGAGCCTGTGTGGAGCAGCCAATAGATTACACTGTTACTTCTTTGGGGGGCTTAGGAGGAAATGTGAGAGGGCAAGGGGATAATCGCAGGGCGAGAAAGATACCATTGGCGGCATACACAGAAGTTTCCGGGTTTGATTTAAGGGTGTTTCAATCACTTTCTATTTTCATCATACACGTCGCATCATATTGGAAGAATTACGAAAAGCGATCTATTTTTCTTTTCTGGATGGTACAGCGCTTCGATTCAGGTCCATCAGTCATCACCTCATCAACCATGAATTTGTTCCAGAAACAAACCGACGTGCATACACATCCCTATTAACCCGGTCAAGATGTCAGCACGCAGGTCTCGACATCGTATCGTATCGTATCGCATCATCGTATCACCTTTTACGCATACACACTCATATTGAATTCAAAAAAAGTGCTTCCGGCTCAAATCCACACATTTACTTGTGTAGATACGTCAAATGTCAAATGTCGGTAGAACTGGGGAAATCGCTGACGGTTCCACAACACGACCACAATGTATGATAACCTTATGATGCACGACGGCACGAATCGAATGCGAGATTGGGAGATGATGCCGAGCGCTCGTTCCCGCGTCCATTGAGGAGTGCGGATGCGAATGCTGCCCCGCCTTGCATTGCATTGGCCCAACTGTTCTTTTTTTTCTTTTTTCCTGTAAACTCTTTTTTGGAATCTTACTCGTCTGGTTGCATTGCTTGTTGCTTTTTAACGTTATTGTTTGTACTCGGTGTCATTTTTGGGAGGGGGAGGGATTGAGCAATTGTTTTTCTTGTCTGCGATTTCTGATTTGTGAGATTCCGATGCTTTGGCTGAACCTCGGTCGCTTCAATCAAATATCAATCAATTATCTATCAATCACATGTACTTTTACAAACAGTTGGGAACATTTTCTTGGGAGTGGCATCTCGATTGATTGATTGATCCATCCATCAATATTACTGTTTCCTTCTTACTTCCTATTCCTCCTATGATTTTGTTTCCATAGTTTTTTGATTTTTGGAATTTATTGTTCTTATATTTCCTAGAACGGACGTACAGAATACCCTTTTCCTCGCTCTCTAATGCCTCTCTCTGTCAGCGGGATACAACATCAGAATCAGACAAACGGTCGATCGGCACTGAAAGGGAAGAACTTGGGTAAGATAGATGGATAAAAAAGGGCTTGTACTTGGGTCTAGGCTTTGGCAGGCAACTTGAAGCATTTTGGAACATGTGCGATGGATGGATGGATTCTTGAAAAACGAAATGAACTTTTAACGGCAGCATATTGGTAAATATGGGATTTTGGGCTACTGGCATACAATGGGAAGGGAAAGGGAGGCATAAATTTTGGATTTTCTTCAGTTTTGATATCAAATCTCTTATTTCATTCTATTTTATTTTGATTTTCCTTTGATGTATGTATGAATCGGGGCTGAGTATGTGATGCGATGCACTGCACTGCACTGCACTGCACTGCAGAAAGAATTTCTATTTTTCCATTTCATTCAACTTAAAAGTTTGGTAAAGGGGAAGGATATTTGGATATTTACAAGCGAGTGAAGCTAGGGGACTCTTTCATCGTTGGCTACATGTACGAGCTAAAATTTTGGGGATTGCCTATTAAGTACACAGACAGATCACATAGCATAGATGAGATGACATAAATTGGAGTGCGTTATTTGGAATTTCACACCTGAAATGAAATCCATTTGCCTTACCTGAACAACCTTTAAGAATTTTCCCTTTGCCTTGTTTGTTTAACTTCCTTGACCGATCTTTTTGTCTTGATACTGACTAGATGCATACTAGGAACTCCTTTTAGCTATTTCTCCGAAATCTCTCTTCATTGGGTAGCTCGCGAAATCCCAATGGGGAATGGTGTCAGATATGAAAGTTAATCATTCACATGATGGGATTATGGATTGATGGGAACCATGGAATGATTAGATGTGAATGGGATGTAAAATAGCTCATTGGCTACTCGAGACATTGCTGCTTAGAATATGTGGTTAAGGCGGCAGGTACGAGATGAGGCTAATGCTGTTTAATACCATGGCGCTAGTGAGTATGAAAATGGTATGAGTGAATATGAATAGGTCATTAATGTATGGATGGTAGCATTGGTAGGGATGAAGATGCGAGTAAGAAAGGGAGAACATTATGCCGGATCGGTGGGCTGGATCGGTGATGTCTTTGGACGCGAGAATGACAGGGGTAGTAGCCGGGGATTAGTATCCGGGGAGTACTTGCCGTATGTAACGAAGTAGATGTACTCCGTATGACTTGATGAGCTCAGAATTAGATCCAAATCAATAGAAAGAAATTATTTGGGGGTGAGACGAAGCAGATGGAGAAGGCAAGAGGAGGGAGTGAAGGAGTCAGTGTAGATCCCCTTCTCCTTCTGGTAGAATCATAAGTTTTTTGTTAATTCGATGGATGCTTGCAAGGTCTTGAACTGAAAATCTACTATCAATCCCGTTGGAATGGTTCGCTCATCTATTGGCTACAAGTCCGAGCTGTTGGTTCGTATACACATGATTATTGGTTAGAAGGCCCAAAATTCCAAATACCCTTGCGGGGTCTGAAGACCCGCAATGAAAAAACTAGTCCGGACCAAAAATGGGAGTAGATGAGTATTCCGGGCAGGGAAGAATCCCGATTCTTAACCGCGCGCATTTTATCCTATGATTTTATTGATGTGTGTTGTGCTTCACCTGTTGTTGCTTCTAGTGCTGGCCGTCAGCATGGTTAGTTCGGCTGACGATTCCAATCTTTGACAGATTGGGATGAGCTTGATATGGGGGCAGTGTTGCCACGACCATGACAGGCTAGAAACGAAACCAGGATGTTTTCCTTTCGGTTGGACACAAATGCATCATGTATGACAATCATGGGTCATGTTGTTATGACTTCGCTCGTTCCCTCGTGCATAGATTTTTAGCTATCCTGGTTTAAAATCTCACTTCCTGGGTTTTACTATTAGCCTCATTTATCGTGACGAGAAATCGGCCGGAGTCCGATATCTTGTTTAATAATATGGTAAGGTTAGTGTACTTCGCTTGAACACTTGCAAAGATGATGATACGCCGAGTATTGTGAACAACGCCTCTTTGTGCTATCCTTGATCGAAGGTTTCAGAAGCTTTTAAAACAAACAAGAGCTTGAGGGCTGAAATTATATTATATAAGCCAACAAGCCAAGAAGCCTAGGTGGGTATCTTCGCAACGGATGGCACGGCAGTGGGTTAAGCCCCTAACGGCGGCTACATTTAAGAGCATTTCGCCTAATAGATTTTAATCTTACAATAGACGCTTTGATCTTCCTTAGGAGATCGTCGTTGATACCTACGGTTAACCTTGTCTGAGCGCTGAGCTTGTTTCCTTCCTCACGAGCGTATGGATAATGCCGGAAATGATATTCCTGGTGTTCTGGATGATAGTGGAGAACGAGGAACTAATAGATTATCTCGCGATTGATAGTGGCAAGCATGAACGAGGGACAGACAGGCTTTGACCGTTCGAACGGGGATGAGGATTACGTACCTAGATGATCAAAAAGTATTAGATTTAGTTGACTGTACCAGCGTCCACTTGATATTTTCCACCAGTTTTCTCTCCACCTAACAGCCAGTGGTCAGTCGTATACGAGGGCCCTGCATAGTGCAGTGCTGCTGTGATGCTCTTTCGGTAACTCCTTATTGATAGGTACTGGCTGCTGCAAAATACCCAGTATCTCTGTGTGTGAATTTGGTAACAAAATAGGTTGAAGAGCGGGATGATCCGAATCCATGGTCATTATCCTGGCCGACTACATAAGAGCCTATCAACTAGCAATTATTTGGATGAGTTTTCTGGCTATCATGTCATATTTCCTAATCATCATTTCAAAATAGAAGGTGTTGTGTGCTTGAAATGTAAAGATGTACATACGAAATGAGAAAGCAACTGTGATTCTTACTGAATATCGGAGTAATCGTTCCCGACGCTAATAAGAAACGGGATAAATACCACCCAATTTGGTAATATCTCCGCGTCGCTGCTACTTTACATTACATTACTTGGATTTACTTCTATTCTTATGCCAAATTACCACTTACCAACCTGCCAACTTACCATTGTTCGATTATCTAGTTCTTCCTATCGGACTAGATCTGTTGTGTGTTGATTGCTGGCATTGTTGGAAAAATACAACGCCGGATGGCTTCTTGTTGCTGAAGCTTACGGACTAGGTCAAGTCTCACAATATAAGTAGGCAATCATGTTTGTGTGCGAGATTATTTACACTCTTACACGCATTCACACGCTTACACGCTGGCACAAGACCACGGTAGAATCAGGAAAGGCCCATACATTTTGCCATAAGACAGCGGCAGTTGTCTAACTCGTACAGCAACCATAGCTATCATCAGAGGCTTATTGGCGGGGCATCATCTCATGTCATCTCATCTCATCTAGAATGAAGACTAGACTTCTATGATCTATGATCTAAGCCAACGGCCCCTATTCATCTAACTAACCCAACTTGATCAATCACCAGCCTTACATGATCCATAGTAGTACAGATGTACTCTACACAATCGAGCAGACTAGACCATAACATTCCACTCCAAGGTCGAACGTTAAGATACGGCCGCGCGAGGTAGAGAAATGTCTTCAGGAGTGGGCATCGTCTGATAATCGTGTAGCCTCTATAAAGTCAATTCTTCACCCTTGTTGGGTTGTCACACATGTGGCTACTTAGGTATACGCACAGTAAAAACTGTTAAAACACGTTTGCAAGAGACGTGGGTGGCAGGCCCTTATGATGCTATAAGGCTGCAAGCTTGACACCTGTTTTGCCTTCTGGTAGGGACAACGATCCACCAAGATTGGACGAATTTTATCCCCAATCTTACCTACCACACCTCTTCATTGATCATTGATCCCTTCGAGCATCTCTTCTTCCACTGATTGACATGAAGCGATAATCGCCAAAGCCGCCTTAGCTTGTTTTTGTCACATTGCATAGCATTTCCGGATAGGCCTTTCCTCTTTCATCACAAGATGGTAGCTATTTTTATCACTGAGCTTTTTATCCGAAACCTGCAGTCTCATCGCTCCGCACTCCTAAAAGAGTTTTCGCAGTTGAGCCCCTTTCTAGTTCTTCAACCAGTGCATGTTTCTGGTTGGAGCCAGTTAAGGTGGCATAGAACTCTGTAACTATTTTCACCAAAGATCCTATAGCATCGACCCGTTCCGCGAGGCACAGCCTGCACGTAAATCTATGGCCTGCCTCCACACCACATACGGTTCTAGTGACTGCGCATCTTCAGCGCTTAGCAAATCCTTCCAAGTGGATCGTCGCGGCAAGTCATACAAGATCTTCACGCATTATGCAGTTGGTCGAACTTTTGCTTACACCCTTCATCGTATATGTCAGTGTTCATGCACACCCCCTTCCTCTAACTCCGGGGAGTTTCCGAATACCAAGTGAAAATTACTACTTACAGGCAGTTTTCGCACCCCAAAAGATTTCCCTACCGAACATATCAAGGAAAGATATCTTGCAGTCCACTGTTCCAAGAAATCCTTTGCCCAATAGGAGCCTCGCTCCGATACTGTGCCGCTTTGGTTCTTCAAGGATTGTCTGCACTCAAGGGAAGTTTCAGCCCCTTGCTCATCTTGGAATCATCAGCAGGGCTGTACCCCAAATTTAGGCCTTAGATATTACAGTTCCTGACAAAAAACCAAAAAATTCGGCTTGTTTCCTATTTTTCTTCCGAACTTAGTCCAATCTAACGTGGAACTGAGGCGAGCCTGCCTTTCAAATATTCGACCTTCAACATAAGTTTGCTTTTGGCTTCGAGTGATCTGCTACTTAGTTGCAGATATGGCACTGTCATAAGTCTGTGGTCGTCACGAGTACATTCAAGGTCGTTTATACAATCGATAAGAGGTTGAATAGAACAATTATTGGTTGTCTCGAGTGTCCCCAGCCTAGACCCGCCTTATTCCCCCGAACATGCAGGAGTCGAATCCTTGTGCTCATATGACCAGAGTGGCTTTTCGCCACTTGTTACGTGCTTCCCCATTCAAAACGTTTAACGGCCTTGCGTCTGCGGCCTGTGAACCAGCCATCATTCACAAGTCCTCTGGCTTTACCTCAAAGCTGGGACCTTGTGATGTGCTATACTGTATCTCAGTGACCCTATAACATCCATCACCGTGCTGAAGCCGGACTTCGGTAAGTTCACCAATTACCCCATTAAGACGACAGCCACCGGTGAGCTAAAATGGATGGGTTGATAGTCGCCGACAGAAAGACAAGGAAGAAATTCCGTGACACGTCGTTACATTCAAGGACATTCGGAAACCACTTCCAAGATAATAGAAACAATCAGCGAATACATGTACAGTGGGATAAATTTACCACATGCCTTAAAACCCCATGTTTTCCAACTAACCATCAGCAACGACATCTGTTGGTCACAAGATGGTAGAGGAAAAGCCTTGGATGACGTCCGACTCTCAAAATGAGCATGTTCGCATTCTTTCGAAAGCGGAATGGATGCATTTTCACATGGCTTAAAAGCATGTCCATGCATAGAGCATCATGTTGTCTCGCATCCAAGCTTCCAACAATAGAGCTAGATTATCTGTTGTTTGCCGGGGAAGCACCGGAATAGCCCCAGGCTATTATTTTTCTTAAAAAAGCTGCAACACGTATATATCCTAGATTCACTTAGTGATTTACAGGTTATCAGAATTTCCTTGTCCGAGAACAGGCAGTGAAATGCGATGTAGACATCAATCCATGAAACCCTCTTTCTCTCTCCCCCCCGTTCAATCCGTTTTTTCTAGAGTAGGTATTCTATACATACCGGAGAATTGTCGCTATACAATATGCACTCATGAAGAAATCGATTTGCATGTAAGTATTTCGTAACGCAAGGTAACAATTCCTGCAATAAATAGAACAATTATCTAAAATCATAATCTTCAGTCCCATGAACTTGGTCGGTCCTATGCAGTGCTGTGAGGTACGAATGATACGCTGACTTCTGCATCCTTCAGCAAAGCTACATGCTGCATTAGAACCTAGTATTCTTCTAGACTCATGTATGGGAAAATAACAGGGGCACAGCGTGGGAACATCAGCACCTTGTTATAAGGTGCTATTAAAAAGTGTTTTATTAGGCTTCTCGCCTTTAATTTGGAATCCACAGACCCTCCCCAGAAACCCCATTCCGGATTCTTGCTTGGCGAGGACATCGACTTGAAGTTTAGTCGTCTTGCGGTTATTTCGGTCAGTGACTATGTCATATCGTGGAAAGTTGGATATCAATACACTTGCGAGAGGCCATTTTTGTTGGCCATAGCGAAGCGCATATAATCCGCGGAGAGGGGTCAACAAGAGTTTGGCGTAAGCAACGATTGCTGGCATAGAGTGTGTGATATCTCTAACTGACTTCCTGGTATAGCGGCTTATTAGTTCGTATATATGATGAAAATTACTGTGCCCCTACAAAGCTAGGCTGGAGAAAACTCACGATTGTAAAAATGATGCTAGTCTTCTATATTTGAGGTGAAATGGATAAAGTCTTCGTACAATCGTTTAAATTGTTGAATTTGTGAAGCAGTACGATGAACGCTCGCGTCTTTGGCTTTCTGTGTGAGAACCTCAAGGCTTTATCTTATTTGCCCCAATATTCAAGTTCTTCCCTTCCTTCACTATGTACATGGTAGAACTACTTGATACCTGCAAAAAGCAAATTGTCCCTGTCATCTTGTCACCATACTTTCGACTTGCGACCAATGCTGGTATTACTTTGTCTATCCCCTTTAGCTAGTTAGTGGCTAATAGCAACAACACTATATGCTCGATTGGAATTTCCCATACATCGGACATGGATAACACAATTGTGACTTAAGTAGAGTATCACTAGGGCATGTAGGACTATTTATGATTCTGAACACTATGTAGGTTGTGGGGAGATATTTAAAGATGTGAACAGACTTTAACGCCAGCTAATTTCAAGGAAGTAATGCGCAATATTGCGCAGGAGAGGGAGTATGTACAGAGTATCTTAATAACAGCAAGACTTCTGGAAATTACCGCACTATTCAATTTCGTAATCTAGAGCTGGTATAAGTCTGCGTCTCTTCATACTATTTCGCCAGATTCTTCGATATCTAAATCAACATTTGCAATACCAGAATGTAAACATCTATTTGCTCCTTACTCCCTCCTCCTTACCCGTACCACGGAGACAAAGTCCGATCTATTTACTATCTACTAGCAATCCAATGTTCTCTTTAAAAGCATAATGCCATAGTGCTCAGTACATTGTCTTTGTCATGTGTAAAACAGAAGCTCTTGATACGTTTGGGTTCGCCAAGGAGATTCCAGTTTAAGCGGAAACATTCCCCAGCAGTGCCGTCAGCCGCCAAATCTTGAGTCATGTCACCGGGTTTTGTAGCGATAGATAAGTGGTTATGCTGATGAAGTTATTATAGTGATGGCAAGATTTTTGATGAAGGTGGTTATTGATGATATGATGAGACATGGTTACTATCAGTGGCAGAATGACCCTTTTTCCTCTTCTTAATCATGACCTCCGAACTTGCTTGACATAAATACCAAATTGGCACTCTCCCTTCCGATTACCTCTGCATCAAAGTCAGCAGAAGGAGTCATACTCTGAATCACCAAAGTAGTCTAACAAGTTGTAACCAATGTTGCGAAGATTTTGAATGGTAATGTAGGAAAATTTGCAAGAAGGATGAAATATCATCTCGGAAGATATTTCATAAGCTAGAAGTGTCTTAATGAATGATGGTTAGGCTTTGGGTTATTTCTCTACATTAGGAAGTAAGAAACACCCATATAAAGATTACCAATAGCAATAACAGCACATGCACATTACCCTACACTTATTCCCTACAAGTATTCTTTCCTACATGCATTCCCGCTCGTTCTTTGCTATCAATGCAGATAATCTCAGCCCTCATGATTTTCATCCGATGCCCACAATTGAGCGGCCATCTCACTCACACCTACTCACTCATTGACTAATATACCCTTGAATTAGTTTGTTCCCAGATTCAACACTTGCCTTAACAACTCACTTTGCTAAGGAGAGAAGTCTATTACAGGCCTGGTTAGCTCACCTGTAGATCGGAACAAATCGGCTACAGGAGGAACTTGCAAGAGGAATTGGTATATTTATTTTGGGTAGCTGTTGGAGAAGTTCTAGTTGTGTCCCTTTGATCGTAAAGGCCTGACTACCCGCTATGTGTGTTTAAGTGTTTATGAGGTTCGGGACCATTGATGGGGAAGTAGGCGGTATTCCAACCAGATCTTTGAAGTAAAATCAACTTCCCTGTAGTGATAATCGTAAGTGGTATAATGTTTTGCCTGCATTACAGCTGGTATTGGTGTGCGTATTGTTGCCTCTTAGCCTCTAACGGAGACAGATGTATTTGCCGCTCCATTTTTGGGTGCCTGTGCAATCGTCTGTGACGGTTTGGATCTCTACACTCCCTTGAATAAGTAACATTAGTCTTCTCTGGGAGCTTGTTTGTTGTTCATAATGGTTCGGACATTGAGATGCTGCCTAGGCCTGGCATTCATGGCAACATAAAACTTGTGTTCATATCGATCGTGAGATCATGTCCTAGAAGAACGGGTATCTACATGGTCCTCAAGCCGTCTATATGCAGTTCATCCATCCCAGTATTTGGCCCACCGGTAACCTACACTCTTTAGATTTTTCTCTTTTCACTCCTTGCCTTCTGCAGCCAGCTCATTGTATGCCCATTGGTAGCTACCCAAGAATATTGCTCCACCAATACTAATCCACATTACTCTTGGACCTATCCCTGCGAAGAATGCCTTTGGACCACCCGTAGCTATAATCTCCTTCAACAAAACGCTCGTCGGCTTTTTCTTTTTCTCCAACATCATCCTCGTCTTCAACACATCCAACGGAGTCGTAGCCGCAGCCGCTACAGCACCCGCAAGACTTCCCATAATCCCGCTCTCTACTGCGCTCACAGTATCCCTTCCACTTCCCCTCTGCCTGTATGACTTCATGGCTTCCCAAAGAGGGAATTGTATAATCGTAAATGGCACTTCACGCATTATTGTAACACTCCAGCCGCGATAGAGTTCCATCCATACGCCTATTACTCCAATATGTTTGCGCTGTCCCAGAATTGCCTTGAGCGTGAGTGAAGAACTGGAATATTGCCCCGCCTGTGCCCTTTGCTTGACCACCTCCGTAGGCACACGAACAGCACAAGCGGCCACCTCTCCCAGACTCGCTGCAACCATATGTTCTATTGCCCTTCCCCTCCCGCGACTTCCAGGTATGTTGGCATCTAAAACATCTTGTCGCCGCGCAAGTGCAGCCTTTGTAGCTTCGTATGTACAGAAGAACAATGCAGCTCCGGGCGCGGAGCCAATTATGGCAGAGCCGACTCCTCGATATACTCCAGTAAAGCCACCAGAGGCAATGAAACCAGCAGAAGACTGAAGGCGAGTTTTCAAGGTATCAAGGGGAAAGAGGGTGAGGTCGACTGTAGTACCAGCGAGGGCGCCCGCTAGGAGGGCGGGGGTGAAGTTTGATTGTGTCATTTGTGCGGAAGGAAGGAATTGAGCAAGGTGAATTATCGAGAACAATGGACGAGGCGGGATTAAGGTGGCCGAAGCCGGATAGTACCGAGGCAAGGAAGATAATAGAAGTTGCGGGCGAGTGTCTTCATGGTTGGGGTGAATGCGGGATGACAAAGTTGAGGTTGGAGCTCGGGTATATTTTTATCGTCTCTTTTTGCGGGCAGATACAAATTCACGCGATAACACCAACAACAACACCGCATAAGGAACTTTTCATAGCACTTCTACTTCCACGTATTGATGTGTATATTACTGGTGTATATTACTGGAATATATTCCAATTAGATAATGGAATGAATACCATGAAGCAGAATGCGCTTCCTATTTCAATAAGGGAATTTGCTGATGCTCTGTTCAAGAGGCCATGTCAAGTTCCTTATCGTTATGACCAGCGGGGTCATAGGACCTTGGGTATGTGATTGCATTTAACTCTTGATTAATGTTTACTAACTTCTGACAGGGCTTGCAGTGAGTGGAGGAGTAGATTCAATGGCCCTTGCGGCGTTATGTATGCAAATGAAAAACAATTACATACCGTTTGCATCTGATGGATATCCAATTCATCTGAACAAGATCGACTTTCGAGCTATCATTGTCAACCATGGAGTAAGAGACGGCAGTCTAGAAGAAGCTCAGAAGGTCATGAAAGTGTTAGAATCTTTAGGTATGCTAATATTTATATTCGTATAACTATGGGCCTCTGACACAAGAATGAAATAGGCATGACCGGACGAATTTTAACCCTCCCATGGAACGATGTCACTGGGAATCCCTCCAAGCTACCTAATTTTGAGAGCTTAGCCAGGAAGTACCGTTTTCAGGCGATCGGAAAATATTGCCAGAAATCCGACATCAATTCACTCCTTCTCGGACATCACTCTGATGACCAAGCCGAAACTGTAGTAATGCGTCTAGCGAAAGGCGCTCTGGGAGCCGGTCTGCTTGGTATCAAGCCATCTTCTCCCATACCAGAATGCGGAGGTTTATATGGAGTTCATGAAAGCGGGAGTCCCATAACACTCTCTCCACCTATCACCAATCTCAATCGTCAGACGAAGCCTCTCCCCTCTCGTCAGACAGGACAAAATAATATCGATTCGCCCGCATCTGGGGCTAAAAACATCATGCCCGAGTTGAAGGTAGAATCGGGGGGTATTACTCTCTATCGTCCTCTTCTTGAATTTCCAAAAGAAAGACTCATTGCGACATGCAAGGCTCTAGGCATGGAATGGTTTGAAGATGATACCAACAACGATCCCACCCTAACAGATCGGAATGCAATACGTTATTTATACGATCGTACAGGGTTGCCTTCCATATTACCAAAATCTAGAGTTCTCTCTCTTGCAGCACAATTTCAAAATGCTGATAACTTACGTCAACAAGAAGTTGATCAGCTCATCAAAAAATGCAAAGTAACGAGCTTCAGTACTAGACGTGGGACCCTTATAATCAGGTTTCCATTCATAGCTCATGATGCGCCTCAAAGATCAACGATAGCCGCTATGTTACTCCGTCGCATAATCATGACAGTTACCCCGAATTCCGTAGTATCTCTCGAACAGGCTTTGAAGGCAGTTCCGGAAATATTTCCTCTGTCTGAAAACGAAATCGCGCCAAAAATCTTTAACACCGCTGGTGTCTTGTTTCAACCAATCAATGTTGATCCAAAAATCGGAGGAAGCAACGAGTGGCACATCTTTCGTCAACCCAGATACAGGTATTCGCCAGATGAAATTGTTGTCCCAGAGCTGCTCCCGGAGAAGCAGCCCTCTTGGGTCTTATTTGATAATCGCTACTGGCTTTCCATACATAACGAACTGGCCTCCCAGGCTGGTAGTCTGGTTGTTCGGTTCCTCAATGAAGATGATATAAGCAAACTTGGAAAAGCTCTAAACGAGAAAGGATCTTGGATATTGAAGAGGCTTTTGAGAGCGGTGGAAGGTGAAATGAGATGGATATATTCTCTACCTGTTGTGGTGTGGAGGCCACATGGCGGTGTGATTGTGGGCCAGGAGGTGATTGTTGGTTTACCGACTTTGGGAGTGAGAGTTGATGGTTTCAATCGTGTAAAGTGGCTGTGTAGGTACAAGAAGATAAATCTGACAGACGTAGGTCTGCAAGCTGCATTTAAACCGGAATCTTTCCGAGTCCGTCGGGTGATGGGGCTCAAAGGAGAGGTATCAGATGAGCCAAAGTTTGCGCCTTGGCTCAGCAAGCGCGAAAAGCTTCTGACTGGTTTGGGAAGAGTCTCGAGTTAGGCGGTTTATTGACAGCGGTTGCACAAAAAGGCCTGATGCCTATCATCCCGTCTTTCCTTCATTTTCACCTCCACCCCTTGTCGATTAAAAAACTATCTTGAATGGTGCAAAACAACTACCGGAAGATCACCGCATTCCGCTTCCTTTCTTCGACTTTATATGCGCTTACTCAGCTGGGCCATTCCGTTTGTGTGGTATTATGTCAGAGGACCGACGTATTATGCTCGCGCCGAAACGGGAGGTAAATTCACATTGAAGAAATACTTCATCCGCGTAAGAGAGGTATTTCTGAAGTTCATACTATAGCGATTCTCAAGTAATTTCTCAGCTAGTATTTCCAACCTTTAATTTGAGTTTTCAGGTTCCTCTCAACTCGGCTCCACAGCTCTTCCTCTCTCCGGCAGTTCCCAAGCCTGGTTTCTCCGATCCCCCATTTCCCGAATCTCACCGTCGCCCATCTCTATCCTGGCATTCGCTGCATGATGTTCTATTGGTACTACTTCAATTCCTTGATTTCCTCTACTTCCCATTTCATCTGACAGTTCTGGCTTCGTGTATTGCTCTTTCATCTCCTGATTTGATTTTCGATTGGGTCTCCGTGAGCGCAGAATAAAATATGCTAGAAGGCCTAAAAGAACTGCGAATGCTGCGGCCGCCACCCCTATTCCTGCCGTGGCGCCGGAGCTTATCTTTGAGGATGAAGGGGACGAGGAAGAGGAGGACGTTGGCGTTGTAGTTGATGCGGTCGAAGATCCTATCATCAACGAGGCTCCTGAAGAAGAAGATGCCATTGCCGACGAAGATGAAGTACTTGAGGGAGAAGCTGATGACATGGAGAAGGTAGAATAAGGTCTAGAAGTCGGCGAAGCTATCACTGATAAAGAGGATGGATCAGGAGCTTCGAATACTTGGTTGCTGAGGCTCTTGCATGTGGTATCGTTACAGCAAGTCCATTCACTGGATGTCTCGTTGTACACGATACCGAGAGAGCCACCGCCATTGGTTTCTAGATCGACTGTATGAGGGATTAGCTCCAGCCGGAGATACACGTCCCGAATCGGGATTTGTAATGGGTCAACTTACCACATTGTTTGGGGCAAACCGAAGCGGTATATGTGGGATCATTACAATATCCAAGATAATCTGCACGTGGTTCATCAGCATTGAGCCATTTGCACTCTTTCTCGCTGCTATGATGTCCTAGAACTCACATTCCGCTTCAGTGGACAATCCAGATGATGATTTGCAGATGTTACTTCCAACACAGGTATCAAATTCCATGCAACATGTTAAGAAATCCTACTTTTTCGTTAGTACATATTTTTCCGCGTATGAATCTATGTGATAATGATATCATCATACCGAAGTACCATTAACAGTACCACAGGGAAAATAATTCTGCGGCTGTACCGTCTCCACACCACCATTAAACCACGCATAACAATTTTGTGTGAATCTGTCCGTTATTTTGTGACGTTGAGGCGTATGCGAGCACAAATCCTCCTCGCTCTGAAGTTTTTACTTCTGTGCGAAAGCAAAACTTGATGTAATGATGTTGAATTGAATCGTATCAAACAAAAACTCAATAGATTGATTGATTGATTAAATTAACGTCTACACTGAGTCTATGACTATCTAAGACGGCTAGGAGTTTTGTAGGCTTCTAACAATAATACATGGGGGGTAGCTGGCCTTATTCGACCGTAGCTAATACAGGTTGGGGAGATTGTGTTGGTACGAGAAGGATACGGAAGACGTAGCACCCACAGATTACGTAGGTCCTGTATGTCTAATTGTATTCTGTCTAAAGAGCTAGCTACATATTGAAAGTAGTAAGTCTTATATAGACTTACTAAAAGAGCTAGTCTCTTTCGCGTTCGCTTAGTTCTTTATTACAGTAGTAATTGAATTGAAGTCATTCACTTCGTTCACACAGATTGAAAGCCTCAATCTTCTAATGTTTGAATGGGGAAAGTGAAAACTAATACTAGGGAACCAAGCCCGCCTTACAGATACTCTCGTATTCAAATAAAAGGAATAAAAAATGAAATGTAATGAAATTTGACATTGGGGTGATTGCCCAAATTGACCAAATTGACCAAGTTGACCAAATTGACCAAATTGACTAAATTGACCAAATTGGCCATAATTGATCAATTCAATCACAATCTTCCGGTCCACCCCCTTCTTCTCCGCCTTCTTCCTCTTCTTCTTCATGCATTCTATTGAGGTGCCATGATCTGGTGGCTATTCTCGTCGCCTCGATAAATTCGAGGGTCTTGATGATTCCTGCTTTAGTATGAAGCAGATATTTCATGGTAGATCGGATTGTAGGGTTATCCTTATTGAAGGTTTTTGTTGGGTTTCTTAAGACCAGAAAGAGTATCAGATTGAATTGATTGATTCTCTAGCTAAGCAGTTAAGCTGCGAGTATATATTCAAAAATGAAGGAATCGGGTTAGGTATTCGGCCTTCGGAATTAAAGTGCTTTGAAATCAAAATATTGAAAGCAAACAAACAGTATACCAAAAAGGAAAGAATGAATTAAAAGTTGAGTTTTGTTTGCTCCTTATATGCATATGCTGCCAAGATCCCAGGAGGTCAACATCAGGATTCGTGAGGATCCAGGGTTCTTGGATGACTATGAGATCAATTTTGAGTGTTAAAACAAGTTGGAGAGCACTTTCGGTTGCTTAAGGGCTCTTGTTTAAATTGATTTGAAGAATGCGAGTATTGTTGTACAATATTAATTGGATTTCTTGATGGTTGATAGATATACTTCATATACTTTCGAATTAGCTTTGTATTCTCCTTTGCAATTAATATATTTGACACTTAGATATTGATATAATTTGCTTTTTGTTTGGCAGATTATACAGAAATGACCGATTGTAATATGATTATTATTATAAAGTCTATAAGCTGAAGGTTTTTTGCAATATGATTCATTTATAGCCGAATCTCTAGCATCTGTTACATTAAAATAAAGGAATAGATAAATAAAATCTTTTTACTCTAACACTAATATCTACAATATATAACCTTTTTTAGATAACTATATCTGCTTCTTTTTATATAACAATACATGACTATTATTCCATCTTATTGTTTGGCTTTCTTGAAGATATTAATAAACCAATAAAAAGTATCTATAATACTAAGTCCTAGATTGAAGGTATTGACTTCCTCTTTGATTAGATCTATACCTTTCAGATCTGAGAATTCCTGAAATGGGATTTTGTGAATGATGACTTTATTCCCAGGGTTTATCGATTTGTATTCTTTCGGTATCAAGGATTTTGTCCCAGATCTCCTTCTTTTCGATCAGAAATTGTATATTGAAAAAGCTATTAATAGTTAATATAAAATTGTCGCTTCTTATAATAATGATAGCTGAGATGATTAGTTCATTGATTCCTGCTTTCTTAAAGGCTTCGTTGATTTTGTTCCTTATATTTAATGATGTAAGAGTATAGCTGATAAATAAGGGATTAGTTGTTTACTTGGGGCTTTTTCCTTTTGTTCTGTAGTTTTCTGTTTTGTGGGTTTTCCCTTTGTAATTAGGTTCTATTCTCTTGAAGTTTTGATAATAATAGTATAATTGGCTTTGGTTCCATAGGTGTTTATTGTAGAGGGGATTGTATGATTGGGAAGATTTGAAAGGTGATTAGCTTGCTTTTCGATCCGTTTGGTAGCATTTTCTAGATGGGAGATTTGTGATGTAATGATATTTGAGGTTTTTGTAAGTTTTCCTTTTTCAAGATATTTACGAAATATTTCGATTAAGTCTAGGACTTTCGATTATTGTTCGGTATCCTCTTTCAGAGAGGCAATTAGAATGAATAGACTTCTAGCTTTTTGGATAGCTTCTTTTGGTGAATTGATATAGGGTTCTGAATGGTTGGGTTGTCGTCTTCGTTTGTTATTGAATTGGAACGTTGGGCGATTGATTGATGATTTGAATAGATCATCAGAGCTCAAGGTATTGTATTGGGTTTGAAAATTGAAGGGTTGGGAGGGGGTAGGATTGGAAAGAATGAATAACAGGCTATTGCTTCTTTTATGGATTTGTTCAATAGGGTGAAAATTTCATGCGTTTTAGCGTGGTTTCATATGTTTTGGACGTCGACGACAGTATCACAACAACTACTGGTTCAATTTCTTTGGGGACAATTGCGTTCGATTGATGCTGATTTGTTTAGTGCAAATGAGATATAAAAAGGGTGTATTTCGAAAAATAATTTTTCTTCAAAATTTGTTGTGTGGATATCTTTTAAAAAAACTCAATAGATAGTAAGGTAAACAGGAAGCAAAGAAGGTTCTTTTTAAGCTTTAAGTTGCGTAAATGAACGGAGTAGATCCTCTCCGGAAGGATCGCCGGTGACAAGGGGGCGAGAAGTGGTACAGTGCTATGATGATGATGGCCCCCATTTTCGTGCTCCTTTTCGAGACGCCAAGTTTGGGGGCCGGCGATCCAGGTTGATTGACAACATGGTGAATTTTGAGATTTTATTTGATTTAAGATTTTCAAAACTTTTCTGCTTCCAATATTTTTGACGAGCCCAAGAAGCTCTCAGTAAATATGTCAAATAATTCTAAAAGTAAATACCTGAAGTTTGTTGTATGGAATCTTGTGGATGCGTGGATATCAATTTCAGTATTGGTAGGCATCGCGACGTCTATTCTTTTGTCTCAAAGCAATAACTCCACGTGTTTTGTTTTTAAGCAACCCGCAAGGTCCATGAAAACCACCTCAACACTCAAGAGATTGCAGGTCAAATCTGGCGCTGAGCAGTGCGGAGAGTTTTCAAGTCAGAGGATGGAAATTCATGGATAAAACATGCAGAAAAACCTCGCAGTAGGGAATTCGGCGACGATGTTGTATAAACTAAAGATAGTGTTATAAATTTATGGAAAACAATACCGATGACGAAAACCGTTTCCTTCCTTCTACCTCCCCACCAAGAACGCAAAGGGATTCGACATATTTCAATACGCCAGTCTACCTAAGTCGTCAACATTGGCTCAATCTGTTCATGTATAGTAAATCTAGCTTTTGATTCTCAAATGGGAGGTAGGATATACTGCGACGTATCGCCTTACTTCGTCCTTAGAGTTCATGCTTTATTTCCACATTTCACAACACATCCAACCATATCCTGCATCTCCTGCATCTCCTCACCAGAAATCTTTTTACGACCCCGCTATGTCCATATCCTTCATCTATTCCCGCAAAAGAGGACTTCAACCCTTTCCCATCTACCCATACCCATTCCGTGTTCCGTCTTCTTCTTTTTCTTTCACGGCCCTTCAAATCCAAGCCCTCCGCCTGCATCACATCTAACCCTTAGGTTCTCTCACTTCAAATTCCCAACCCAATTCCCCAGTCCTTTCCCATACTTTACCAAATCTCCTTTTCAACCTCACACATCCCGCACTACTTCTCTCCTATCCTCTCCTCTTCTTTCACAATCCCTCTCCTTTCACTCCCAACTCCACTTTCCTGGATTTCTCGACACACATTAACCAAATTCTACCCATACCCTCTAACCTCTCATCTCTGACTTCCTCGTCCATCTTCTCGTTCTAGGCGAACACAAAAGCAGGAAAAACTTAGTTCAAAGGATACGAATCTAAAGATATTCAAATGATCTTCGACATCCATCCATCCATATCACCATCAACGTCAACATCAAAACCAACTCGAAACATCAAAAATCTTGAACTATTAAACTCTCCCTGCAGATTTGAAATGATTCGAATAGGGAGACAATCCCCATCTCACTCAAATCCGATGCTGATCCTAAAACCCACCTTATAATCAACTCAACCCAGTTCACAGTCCAGTGCAACCCAGTCAATCCAGAATGCTATTTTCTCGCTCATGCTATATACTTCAATATACTAATACCCCTCCGAAGTCCATAAAGATGAACTCACCTCATTCACTTCAACCACGAACTTGGACTTCGACTTCTAATTCAGCTGCAAAAGGGTATAGAAATCCACATTTGACACGATAGAATAAGCCGGCGTCAGGAATGGCGAGGGGAAGCTTTTGCACAATAGGATTGAAGATGACTTTGTAGCTGCAATTGACACGAAAGAGAATTAAGTAATTTTTTCGCGCATCTCGCTCCCTCCATTCATCACTTCGCTAGTCCACCCGTTTCATCTTTCATCCCCAGTCACCCCTTCACATCATCGCGTCAACTCATCATTCATCAAATTTCACAGCAGAATTCCCCCTGAAAGTGTTTCAATTCAAACCGAACACCGTATAATTACGTACGTACTTTCCCAAAGTGTATCCTTAAGAATAGTCCCAAAGTATCCCAATCGCGTTGCCAAAGAATGTGGTATCAGTCGCTGTCATTTCCCACCCAATCCAATCCGAAGGCATATCCAAGGTTGTATCCAAAATTTCAAAGCGTTTCTCCGAGAAATGGGGATGTATCCGGCCCATCCCTATCCTTCATTCATACTAACCGAAAAGAAGTTCCCAATCATAATATCATGTAATTCCCCCATCCAAAAATAAGTGTACCCAAAATCCATCTTCAATTCCATCAACACAAGCCCAAATAATGTCAATGTAATCCAACATCATCTACCAGCACTGTACGGTCTATTCATTTCCGCAATCTCCCTTGCAATTTCCGCCCACTCCAATTCTCTTCCGCGCCACTTTCCACCATATTTTCCCCCCGTCATCCTGAGTTTCTCTTCCCACTTCAAAAGTTCATAACTGAATCTCAAATGTGGCTGGATAATAACATTTAGTCTCCTCGCCCTGACAAAGCAATATGCACGCGGAAATGATAGATGCTTTGTGCGCATGACTTCGGCTATGCAGATGGTTGCGCTTCGAGAAACACCCACACGACAATGGACCAAAGTTGCTGTATTATTTAGTTTTCCTCTTTCTGTTTGGTTGTTAGTAGGCTGATAGCTGATCTTTGACATAAGAGGGAAAGCCATACCAATAAAATCCAAACATCGTCCGAATTCGTCGGTCAATGGATCTACCCCATTATCCTGCACTCTCTGTATGACCATCACGTTATCCTTTCCCCATTTATCCATCTCACCATCTTTCCACGTTGCGGTTTCGCCCACACTCAAGATCTGTTTGATGCCCAAATGCCGTAGAAGGTCTGGGTTGTTAGCATGCCCAAGGTTCCCGAGGTACATATAGTCAGTAATCCTCGAAGGAAGACTTCCATCCATGCATTTTATCCAATCAGGTTCCTCCTTAGCAAGATCAGTAATAGCCAATAAGCTCCTGCCTTGATGAACAGGCGATTCGGACAGGAGTCGAGGTGCGATGGTTGTAAGAAGACTGACGTCCTGTGGGTACGCAAAGAAGTTACGTTTCTTTGTAATATGCAAATCAAGCCAGGCTTTGGGAATAGAATGACCTGTGGCATAAGTAAAATATGCAAGACCGAGGAGAGTGGATTCAGTGTAACCATCAGTACAATGCATCAGGATCTTTCTTTCCTTTATATTGGTGGTCATAGGGCTATCACCATCTTCATCCTCGGGTAAAATTCCGTGGGAAAGATTGTAGATCCACTTGCAAGTTTCAAGAATTCCATCGGCTTGGTCATGTTCCCAAGACGGTGGTTGGATCATTCCAGAAGAAGGGAATCCTAATTGCCACTTATCCGATTTACCCTCTGCAATTTCTTGTAGTTCTAAAGGATTTATCAGACCTAGGTCATTACACTCGATCAGAATATCGAGAGAAGTACCTTCGGACAACGCCGGGTCGTTTTCTCTGAGTATCCATC